AAACCACCATGCTCTAGCTGCTTTATGATAAAAAATGAATCTACATTAAACAAACATAAAACTGAGAATCATAATGAAACCCCACCATACATTTGCAAAGAATGTTTATTGGAATCAGAATCATGGTATAAGTATGTCCAGCATATGAAAATGCATTTAAGATATGCATCAAAATGTAGTGAGTGTGTTTATAGTATGATGAATAAACCAGATAATGTAATATTCTTGTGTGATGTTTGTGAAATGTCTTTTGACACTGATGATGAACTTAAAGTACATGTACAAACACATTTAGAAAATGGACAAAATAATGATAGGTAGTCATTTTGACTCTTAATCTTATAATGAGCTTTGTAAATATTATAATTTATGTATCATTTATATATTCTTAGTAATAGTAATCCTATAGAGATTATAGTAAATGTTACTATTTTGTAGCTGTTTTTATTTGTAAGTTGTAACCACTATATATATTTAATAACAATCAATTAAAAATAAATACAAATAAGTATTATTTATATTACTCTTTAACAAAAGTGTAAAAACCATAAACTCAAAAATAATATAAAATATCTGTTGTTAATATTCATACACATTTACACACTTACATATGTATAACAATTTATTAATATTCTTACGTAAAATGCCCAAAACTTTTAAAAGTAAATAATATTATTTTAAATGGTATAAAAAATTAACTTAAATTAAGATTCATGTTAAAATAATCTTATAGAATGAATATTTTAAAATATCTATTCAATGATTAAAAACATATATCTCGATATTCAAACAAAAAATGTTTGTTTGAGTATGAATGATCATTAATTAACTCAAAATATGTGTTTTTATATTCATTATTCATTATAATTTTTTATTATGGCAATATTACAAAGATATTTTTACCAATTTTAGTTAAGTTGAATACATGTTATAACTTTAAATTAACATTGTACAATATAGTTTTTAATATTGTATAGGTAGCCACACAAAATCAAACATCAGTTAAAATGTTTATTAACTAACATGAAATGTGTTATAATTGTAAGATATTGTATAGTTATTACAAATTAAGCAATAATGTCATCATTGTATAGAATTATTCAATTATTGGTACCAACAAATTTTTATTGTTTATGGTTTATATAATGATTGTTAAGTTATTTTTATTTATCTTGTGAGAACATTTTTGTATACTGTAATTATGTGTATACTTTGTGTTGATTTTGTGTTAGATACCTATTCTTTTTTATCCCAATTAATACGCATTAAATATGTGATTTGACTGTTATTATTTTATTTATTCAATTATATTAATAATAGATCCATCTTATTTGTATGCTTTAGTTAAATATCCTTTTCTACAATTAAAGTATCCTTAATATTAATATGTATCACGGTCTTTTGTCAAAATATTTAATTTTTTTTTTTTTAAATATGCATCATGCAAACAAAATACTAGAATGATATTGTGTCATTATGTATAATTTTATATTTTCTAATGATTAGACAGCTCAACAATAGTCACTGGTTTGTTCTATGAAAACTAATGGCTGTGTATTAGTGTTAAATATAAGCTTTGAAGTATGAATTATTGCAGTATTGTCTTCCCTGTTAAAAAGACCTATTCATTCTTATGATCATGATTAATATTTGATACATTTTTAATTTTCAAGAAAGTTATATTTTTAGATTCTGAGATATGAAAATAACAGTTTAAACAATATATATGTATTTTTTCTCTTCTATGTTTCTAATGGAAAATTAGATTTAATTGGTACATTGAAAGGTCAAAATTAAAAATTTCCGAATTTCCAGTACTTGTCAAAATAATAGAACAATAAAACAGGGAAAAGTAGGTACTATTCTGCTGTACAGTAGGTTTTGATTAAACTTCTTCATTGAGGAATAAATCATTACAATATATTAATGCTTCTACAAAATTATTATGAGCGTAAGGTTATTATTTGTCAGCCATTATCAATATATTACAAAGTATAGGTATTTTATAATATCTTTGTATTGTTATTAGTATTATTACCTAATACCATAGTAATTTATTTTACTATTAGTGATGCAGTAATTGATTTAATTCTTGTCTAAAACATAGCATTTATTAAATTTTTAATACCTATTTATTTAATAAAATAGTATTTATATACGTATATTATTGTTATTAAGTTATGAGGTAATACTTACCTACTATAGATCGATATATATAAGTTTTTGGTAATAATAGATAATGGTATAAAATTTATCTTAATATTTTAAAAATTCCTTTTGAGTCATAATGTATAACTAAAGTACCTATAATTATAAACAGAAAAATCCTAAAAATTACTTTTACAGAATTAAAAGAATATTAAAAATCTATAATGATAATTATTTTTGTAATTGCTTGAAGTTAAATCATGAAAACGTAATTAAATTATTTTGCAGCTCAAAATCATAAGATTTTTAATAAATAGCAATAGCTTTATTGCTTTAAGCACTTTAGTCTGAAAATTTAACTGATATCTATTAATTGGTCTTAAAGCATTAAATAATATTAAAAATATGCATGATATATTTTTATTTAAATACATTTAAAGTTTTAGTTTTGAAAAAATATATATTATAACAATAGTATAAAATATATTACTATTTTATCTTTCGGGAATAAAAAATTCAATATTCTTAATTTTGTCTACAAAATTAAAGCCTACTAATATATTGATTCATGAAATGTTCAATGGCTATATATTCATGTAATAATAATTGTTATTACTATATGTATTGACCATCTATAAGCGCTTTTCTGCCTTTTATAATTCATCCAATTTCTTTTATTCTTTCTTATTATACACACGGCTTAGGTTATCAATGTTATCATATACTTCATACGTTCATACCAAGTGAAACTCAGAAGCGCAAATCGTTGATTTTTTGCGATAGGTCAAAAGCGTAAATTCATGTTCATTAAAATTACTGTAATATATGCACATGCATTTCGATTAATTGTTAACAAATCTTCTACACTAGGTGTGCAATTATTACAACAGTATATTACAACAGATTTCGAAAAATCTATAATAAATGCCATGTATGAAATTTAATCTCATACACAAATCATTGGTTGTAGGTTTCACCTCACCCAAGCGTGGTATCGTTAAATTCAAAAATTAGGGCTATCCACTGCCTATCGGGACCAATCTCAGAAGTGGGTAAATGGTTACGCCATACTTTTAGCTTGATTTTCTTAAACCCATGTGAAGTTTTTGAATGTTTTATTGACAACTTTATGGCTAATCGTCCTACAGATGATCAAGACGGTAAATATTCAGACTGCTTAGTAGACAATTTAATTTTTTTATTTGATGAAAAAGTAAATTGGCGGAAAAGGCACTTTTGGCAGAAACGGGTAACTTCCCGCATACCCAAGTAAACCCTCAAACACACCACTGAATTTATAGGATTTACTTACTAATTTGTTTGATAATATATTAAGTTTTAGTTAAATATGAATTATGTATCCCCAAACCTTGTAACGTTTTAAAAACGCTAGTTTTTATTGTTAATTCTTCCGTTACTATTTCTATTATCTAAATAAAATTGTAATTTATGTTTTATTATTAATGAATAGATATATATTATAAACACTAAGCTCAAGTCAAGTGGCTACATTTTAATAGATTTAGGTATGTATTATATTTTGTTGGTTTAATGTACCTATGTTTAAAAATGGTTATTCATATTGGTTTCGCCTTTTTCTTTTATACAAATAGGTATTTAGCTGTTTTGTATAGATTCTTAATCATATAATAATAACATAATATTAGACGTAAATTGTAATAGTAGTTTGAACCGTTGGGGATAGCCGCTTAAGATTTTACTGAGAATAACTCTATTTAGACTATACATTTTCTTGTAACTACCTACATATACCGATATATTTAATCGTGTTTTAAATTAAGTTCTCTGTCATAAGAACTATATTGTTTATATTAATTAAACGGTAAGTGATTACTAGAGGTCGAATAATATTCTCTTAAAATAGCTAAAATAAGATACTAATATTCCTCTAAAAAATTAATAATATTCTTTAAAAATTGTAGTTAAATATGCAAAAAATATGCTTTTACAGTAATATATTCTCCTAAATTCAAAATATGCTTTTATATTTAAAAAAAATACAATCTAATTGATATATAAAAGTCATTATCTAATTATGATACAATACTATATGTTTACTGAAATATATATATATTTTTTATTTAAATATCTAAGCAATTATAGGTAAGTAGGTAACAATTTAGCTTTAAAAAAATGTTAACTTAACATTTTATTAACTCATTCCATATTGTTATTCCATTTATAGTTATCTTAATAACGGACTAAAAATGTATTTGATATTATTAATAATTTTCGTCCCTACAATACAAAATATCCGAATTCTATAAAATTAATCGATATATTTAATATTCTCTAATATTATTTTTTATACAAAATATATTTCTATCTTAAAATATTCTTGAATGTGCAAACAACATTTTTTCCATTGAATTATATGATTCATAGTTTTTATAGATTTCAAACTAAAATTTGATTGCATAGACTCAAATAAAATATGCAAAAGAATATTATTCCGACCTCTAGAGATAACTATAATAATGATTTGCCTTTAAATTGCCGTGTATAATTCAATAATTATTAAAATGCAATTTTAAATTAAATCATTAAAAAATTAGTGAAATTTATTTATAACAAATAATAGACATACCTACCTCGATGTTTCAAATAATTATATTATAGGTCGTAACCGTATTATATAATATTTTATGTATATAAATGTAGTCATTTTCGTTATTATTTATAATTTTATCATTGGATAGTAAATTTAAACAAGCAATTATGATTAGTCGTTACAAATAAATAATAATACTATATGCATTGTATAAGTGTACAAATAGTAACAAGTTGATTCGCTGTTGATTAAATATGATGATGAATAGATGAGTGATGATGATAATATTATTGCGTTAGGAAACAGTGGTCAGTCATGTTTCGCCGTTTAAATTGTTTGCGCAGGACGCAACGTTTTTACTCGTTAAATGCATCGAATTCCGTGTTTGGTCGTGAATCTTTTATTCAACGACACATCGGACCCAATGACTCCGATCAAAAACAGATGCTAAAAGAACTGGGATATCAGGTGCGTTTCTAATTCCCATAAAAAGTCTAAAATAAAATTGAAAATCTTTTAGTTTTAAATTTAAAAAATAATTTTTTTTTTTGTGTTGTGTGCTTGAATGTTATTATAGCTTAGTAATTACTTGATTACGTTAAATTATGAACTATTTATTGACTATTTTTACATTTTTTTACCATTTAAAAAAAATAATAATTTACGTAATATTTTGTATCTTATAATATCGTACCGTAATTCATAAGTATATAATAAGTATAATGATATAAATGTATAATTTTATAAACCTGTACCTGTTATACTTATTCAGTGAAGTTGAATATTTTATATTATTGTACAGTTTTTGACTGTTTTATGACTATTTTTATTTATTTATTTTTAAAGCATATTACTAATGCCATAATTTCTTAAATAACTAACAAAAAAAAAAAAAAAGAAAGAATTACTTTATAAATATAATAAGTAATTATATAGTTTACATATTACATTTTTTTGTTTTTTTTTTTATGTAAAAGTAATAAATAACGATAAAATTACTATAGGTATAATAATTATGGTTTTTAAAAGACCGAACTGCTGAGTAGTGTTATTCTATCTTCAATAAGTCTGAAAAACAGCCGGCTGTTTAGACAAATAATTAGTTTGCCGAACGGGCTACCCTATTGCAAAAAATCTATTCTTTTTGTAAAAATATTTATTTTCCATATGGCCTACGATATTTATATAATAATCGAATAAATAGTTTATCTTTCGAAATGAATTTCTTTAAATATTAAAATAAGGTAATTGGTATTATAATAGATAGGTGTATATTTGCATTAGAAAACTTTCCTTTTTTAAAAGGTATCATGCTTAATATTTCTACCGTGCGTACTTTTTTTCCCTAATTTTTAAGCTTAAACACATACACAATTATACTAAAAAAATACTTATCACTTTTACTTTTAATGTTATATTTTAAATATTATCTACAATTTATAAGTGCAAAAAAAAAAACTTTAGACAATATTTTAAACATTTTACGTAATTATGAGATTGATCGATGGTCAACCACATAACAGATTACCTATTGTATTATATAATGTATGAGTACAATTTTAAAATGTTTTTAAAACATGTTGAGTAAATAATAGGTTTATTATGATATTTAAAAATGATGAATCAGAATTTAATTTTTATTATTTTTTTTTTTTTTTTGATATTTATATAATATACTTACCAATATATATTTAATCATGCGTGAGATATAAACTAGAAGTAATTTTAAATTGTTAATTTAAATTTTTAAGTAGATTATTCAATTTTGTTTTATTATGATTATTGATTATAATTGATTTCACTAATATGTTTTGAATAAAAATAGAAATGTATAGTAAAAATATTCAACTATTAGATATAATGATGGATACTGGACTTAAGTTATTGTGATGAGTTAATTCTGTACTTTCATTTTTTTATTAATTCATTGTATAGTAAATCATAGCACTTAAGATTATTTTTAGAAAACACCTAGGGTGAGCTACCTGTTAAGAATTAGGTATATTTTACTATTAAAAATAAAAATAATAATAAGTACTTATTTGAAGCATATGTAAACAATAGTTTCAATCGTCTTATTTTATATTTGGAGTAATTTTTGTTATTATCTTATAAATAGTACTTTAATTCATGTGTATAAAATATGTTAAACGGATCAATTCACTACTTATGTTTACATAATGATCTCTTTAAAGACAAATTTATTTATGGACAATTTAACTACTTAAAATGATACAATATGTAATAATTAATTAAACAATAATCACGTGTTTAATTATGCAGAATCAACATTTTTAATACCATAATTATTTAACTAAGTTTTTAAGTTAATAATTATTTAATTGTAAGATGAAATAAAAACGAATAATTCTAAAATTATCAAAGAATGTAAATAACGTCATATAAGAACTACTCTAAACACTGCTGTTAAGCTGTTCCATGTATATACTAAATGCGTATATTCGTCAACTACTACGTACATATAAATAAAGTATAGCTGTTAGTTATATATAGATTATAGTTATTATGTAGTTATGATAATTCGATTACATTAATCTAAGATTTAGATTTGATTAAAATAATCATTTTTACCTATTCTATTTTATTATTTTACCTTGAATAGGTATGAGTAGAATTTTTATCATATACCAATCTTGAAAATAAAATTGTTAAACTCACATGGACCATAAATTGGTATTTTCAGAGTTTAGAAGACTTGAGCGAGGCCGTGATCCCAGATAGTGTTTATCTTCCGAAGACGCCTAATTTAAAATCGTCAGTTATAATAGGTATGTTATGTGTTATATTAAATAATTGATAACCTCTTGTTTATGCAGGAATTACAAATTTTGTTAATGAAATAATGAGCTTATATTAATGCATTCATATTTACATAATATATTAAATGGAATGTATAAAATATAAACTAAAATAGTTTGTGTTTGTAATATAATTTACTCAGCAATATACCAATATATTATTACATATAAAAAAATAATGACCTGAATACAAAGTAAACTAATACATAATATTATTATATATATATATATATATATATAGGTCATTATATTGTACGCATTTGTACATTATTTAATTTTAATATAGGTAATATATTTATTATTATTATCTTTGATTTTGAGCAGAATGATGAATCTATTAATTTTAAAATGATCTATATTTTTTTTATGTCTATCTTTACTTTTTGAGGAAGTAAAAATGCTTAAAAGATCAACTTTAAGGGTGATTCCTGGCGGAAAATCAAATCTAGTACTATTTTTTACGGTTAAAAGTAGAAATTCTTATTTCTCTTAACTTAATAACTAAGACAAAATTAATTTCTTTATTTTATTTTAATTTAAAAAACAATTAAATGTAGAAACGGTGGAGTACATGCGTGCATAATGACTATCCACGGTGGACTTTATAAATATTAATTCTACTTTCCGGTAAATTTTTTTCTAAAGGGTTGAATATTTATAAATAAACTCCTATTTAAACATAAAAATAAAAGATGTATGTATTTATAACTGCAAAATTATTAGAAAGTGTTTGTGACTTTACGCATGATGAAATTCTAAGTTTAAACGCTGATAAAAAATTATTGAGTCTATAAATTAAAAATATTTTAAAATTGGTTAATAAAAAACTTATGAAGAATCTTGTATTGATTTTTTAAGAATTTTAACAAACAAATAATTTTTTATTGCCATTAAAAAAAAAAAAAATAGAAATTTTCAAATGTTTATTAATATTTAACTCAAAATGACTCAAAACTATTCCTATTTTTTAAATCATATTATGTATGTATTATAAAAAGATTTAGAAAAAATAAGTTTAACCTACTAAATAACTTATAGCAATATAAATCCATTATACAATATTCTTCAAAGAATAGGCTAACAAATAGTAGCATCAATTCAGTTGTAAGAGGGGGCAAAGTTTTGACCAGTTCATTTATTTGAAAAAAAATCACTCGATTCATTGGCAAGCTGTTTTCAACTTAGTTTTAATACATAATACGATTCTTATCTTACATGTATTGATAAATTTTAGACTAAAACAAACGTGAACTTATTAATTATACCTATCTAGTACCTACTTCAGTGACGTCATTGAAGATTTTGTTGATTGGTTGAATAAATTATAATAACAAACACGACTGTTAAATCATAATGTGTAATCGAAAAGTGGAAAATATCGAATACCTACTATCAGAGCTATAGCTTTTGAATGAAAACAGTAATTTTAGAAAGAATTAATACTTTTGCATTTTGGCCTGTTCAGTTGTAACAAATGTCCCGTTCGATACTTCAACTGCATATACCTATCGTTTAAATATTGTATATTTTATTATATTTAACTATTATAATATTACCTTTATAAAAAAACATTGGAATAAATCTATATGCTACTAAATAAATATATTTTACAGACGAGCAATCTCTAGCCACTTTGATAAAATCGATTGCAAGTAAAAATCAAAAATGGAGAAGTTTCATTGGGATGGGTTACTACAACTGCCATACGCCTCATGTTATCGTAAGAAACATGCTAGAAAATCCTGGATGGTATGCTAAATTATTTAAATATTCTGTTTTCACTACTCTGATTTTATATATATTATATATTTGTGCTTACTAGTTACTATCTTTATTTGTACCCTGAAATATTTACATTATAGGTACCTTATGTAATATGACACTTCTATAGAAGTTATAAGGTTTTTTTTAAATATGTATTAAACTTTACCTACATGCTGCAAACTCTATCAGAAAAATTAAATCTATAATTAAAAACAAAAAATATACAATAAAAATATAAATCTATTTTGTAATTTGACAATCATAGTTAGGTTAGGTGTACTTTAATACATTTGCTTCATCCGCCCTTTCCTTTTAGTTAGATACTTTAATAATTATACTACAAACGTTACTATTAACAATATGTAGAAATTAAAATTACTTTAATACTTTATAAAATAAATTTATTGTACAATGCAGGTTGACACCTTATACTCCTTACCAAGAGGAAATCGGTCAAGGTCGACTAGAGAGTCTATTAAATTTTCAGACATTGGTTGTCGACCTTACGTGTATGGACGTAGCCAATGCGTCTCTGTTAGACGAAGCTACGTCGGCGTCCGAAGCACTGACGATGACGTTCCGGCATAACAAACGCAAACGCTGGTTCATTGCAGACAATGTACACCCCCAGACATTATCGGTTGTACAAACTAGAGCCTCTGCCCTTGGCATTGAAGTTTGTTCTGGTGATCCGAAACAAGTAAACGATTTCAAATCGTACAGCGGTGTGTTATTACAGTATCCAGACACATATGGTAATTTATTTGATTACAGTGATGTCGTGCATAAGGCTCACAACAACGAGGTTCGTTTTCAATACCAATATAATAATACATAGGGTACTACTATAAATTAAATTTTAATTTTAAAACTTCTGAATAATTAAGAAAAATAAATCTGTTAAAAAAGTTCAAGAGAGAAATTTTTCATTGACCATGTTAAAATATGATTTTATTCAATTAACTATTTGATATCGAAAACTAGAAACTAGATTATGTTAAATACATAATATAATACAATGTTTAATATATTGTACTACACTTTACTCTATTGGCCACTAAATCACATGTTTTCCCTAAGGTTAGATTCAATTGCGTCGAGTCATATAAATTTATGTAAAGCAAAATCAAAATATTTACACACCTACCCACCCACCACTGAGGGATGTTGTCTACTTCTAATAACTAATAAATTTAGTTATTTATTTAATTATTTAGTATAGGTATTATGTAATGTAAAAACAAAAACACATATAAATAAAACCACCCACCCTCTTTATTATATGAAGCGATTGCTTCAGTTCATGTATAGGCTCGGCGCTACTAATTAGATTAACATATTATTAAATTAATATTAATATCACATAATTTTAATATTATCAGGTGTTTTTCCACAACTTTGCGCACAAGTCTTAATTTTAATTATGTGTAGGAGATTTTTTTTTAATTGCATAAATACCTAATGATGGAGGGTAATATCTAAACCTGGCGAACAACGTGACAGTAGTATTTGATATCGTTTATTCGTTTCGTTAAATTGAAAATACCAATCATTTTAAAAACAACCTCTATTAGCATTATGCATAGATTTATTTAGTATTAAGTTTTAATATGTCAATATTAAGTATTTACTGATAATTGCCGATTTTTGGTATTTATTGAGTATAGACAGTACTTATTGCTGTATAAATCTGGGTTTCTAGTACACATATTTACTAAAAAAAAACACAAAAAATATGAAGTTGAACTTTACACGTTAATAAACGGAGTATAGTGGAAACTCGACTTAAGTTAATACTATTGTGACGATAGTTATACCGTCTAATACCGACTTACCGGTACACCTTAACTAACTGATATATAACCACTAACGCGGAATACTAGTAGATAAATTGCATATATACCGTCAGCTCTATAATCACTTATATCACAGACTTTAGTCGTATGTGCCACGGACTTGTTATCGCTTACTCTGATCAAAGCTCCCGGTGAATACGGCGTGGACATTGTGGTCGGAAGTAGTCAAAGACTCGGCACTCCACTCGGATACGGAGGTCCACACGCCGCATTTATTGCATGTAAGAAACCTCTGATGCGACTAATACCGGGGAGGATGGTGGGTGTTACGAGGTAGGTAACACCAGTTATATGTCCATTTACTCTACCTCTATATTATGTAGGTTGTAAATATACATATAAATTAATAGCATTTTAATTTTTAATCATATGTTATAATATTGAACTTATAGTTTATAACTTTCTATGTTCTATCTACCTTCAACTTATGATCAGCTTACAGACGTTAATACGTAATTATTAACCGTTGCGAACATATTTTTTTATAGTTATTACTCAATATATATATATATATATATATATAAGTTTATATTAATTAAATGATGCATTCAGATCTTTTTTGGAGGAGAACTGGTTAAATCCTCGTAAAATTAATTATTACAATTGTTACTATACTAATATAGTATGGCCAGTACCTCATACTATATTTTATTGTAGTAGTTACATATTTATTTACAATTGTTTTGTATCATAGTCTATTTAAGGTGCTTACAGAATAACTTGATAAATTTACTTGACTTTAACGTAATTAAAAATGATGAATTATCAATAATCATAATATAAAATATAATTAAGAAGAAATGCTCTTCCTTTTGTCCATTCTCTCACGCATAGATTCATCACTATATATCCATACCATTTATCCATTCTACAATTATAATAAATCGACAAATTGGTAATTTATTATAATAGTTTATAAATGGTAATAATACATAAGTACTTAATTGTGGGAAAATTCGAGTTGGATCCAAATGTATTTGATCGTCTAAACGAGGGGTCGGCAATCTGTGGTCCGTTTAGCAATTTTACGCGGCCCACATTACAAATTATAATTGGTATAAAAATATGGAATATCACACTATGTTAGTTAATAACCCAACTTTGTTAATAAATACAACATTAAATTAATATAAGTATCAAACAGTGATGAACTTAAATAAATTAAGTTAAATTTTGTTTAAAATTTAAACTGTATCTAAAATGTAAATAAAATAAGGGATAGATATGGTCCATGAAAATTTGTTTTATTAATTATTGGCCCTTGACACCAAAAACGTTGCCGATCCCTGGTTTAAACTAAACACTATGCTCCACATAGTAATTTGATAATAATTTAATTGAATGAATTCGTGGTTACAACAGGTGGTCATCGTAATATTCCGTGCTCACCCTTATATTCTTATTTTATTAAAAATTATATTTACAAATTGACATATTTTGAGTAAAATTTATTTTTCACTTCGTATTTTAACCACACATGTGGCACATCATACAAAAAAAACAAAAGGAAAATAAGCATTTTTAAGAGAGATGCTTTGTTAAAACAAGTGTACAATCGATACAATTTAATTTTGTGAAAGTTGTGTCATTTAAATTTCTTTCCAAATTAATTCAGTTACTTATTTAAGCTACTTAATGTAAATATTAATTACAATCAACGAAATTTAAGTTTTTCATTTAGCCTCTCGTTGTTGTCTCCCAAGTAGTAGACTGTACTGTCCCAAACTAATTTTTTCAAAAAAAATTGACAGTTCTGGGTCGCACCTAACTTATGCCAATTTTAAAATGTTTTCCAAGTTATTTCTAGTTCTCTAGATTGAAACCACTTTAAGCCTATTTTATACTATTACCTATAATATATTATATAGATATTTTAATTACTATTTTACATTATTTGTACAGAGATGCAGATGGAGACAAGGCGTACAGATTGACATTACAAACCCGTGAACAACATATACGTCGTGAACGGGCGACTAGCAATATTTGTACTGCTCAAGCTCTGCTAGCAAATGTAGTAGCTATGTACGCAATTTATCACGGTCCGGTAGGACTGAGAAATATTGCCCAGAGAGTACACAACAGTACCGTGATACTTAAAACAGCGCTTGACAAAATACCTGGATGTAATACTGGCAATGCCAGTTTTTTTGATACTTTGCACTTGAATACCACGATTCCTCAAAAGGAAATAATCGACAGGTGTAGAGAAAAAATGATCAATTTGAGGTTTTTCGACGACCAATCTGTGAATATACTTATTACATTTTATTATAGTTTTTGCAAATTCTACACATTTTATTTTAATTCGTTATTTTTTATATAATAGATTGGCATATCGCTAGATGAGACAGTAACATCCGAAGACATAAACGACTTACTGTGGATTTTTGGATGCGAAAATAATAAAAATAATGTAAGTATACTTTTGCAATATGTTTTCATATTAATGTAGGTATATGTTAAGTAGCCATGTTATAGATGATTCAATAATCTGTTAAAAACAATTGATTTTAGATAATATGTAATGATGACATTTTAGAAAAAAGTGTAAGTAAAACAATATTTAAGAGGACATCACAGTATTTACAACATCCAGTATTTAACAATCATCAATCAGAAACACAAATTGTTCGGTACATGAAACAATTAGAAAATAAAGACGTTTCACTTGTCCACTCTATGATTCCATTAGTGAGTCGAATTATCGGTTGAAAAATATAAAAATATTTATTTTATTTTATTTTTTTAGGGATCGTGCACAATGAAATTGAATGCTACCGTCGAACTATTACCGCTTTCAGAACCTGGATTTATTAATATTCATCCATTCGTACCACCTGAACAAGTTCCAGGATATCATCAAATCTTACAAGAATTAGAATACGATCTCTGTCAACTAACCGGCTATGACAAAATATCTTTTCAGCCCAATAGGTATACCTGCATGCATTTAATAAAAATATTTTAAATAATTGTATAAGCCTATGAATCATGATACACACTATTAGCGGCTCTCAAGGAGAATTCGCCGGTCTATGTGCCATTATGAAATATCATCAACATCGCGGGGATGAAGATAGAAAAGTGTGTTTAATTCCCACGTCAGCACACGGTACTAATCCAGCATCAGCTCAAATGGCTGGAATGGATATTCAGTTGGTGAATGTGTCCAAAGATGGTTGCATTGATCTACAACATCTCAAAGATAAGGTATAAGTGCCTACTTACCTTACATGAATATGCTTTATGAACTGTAACTATTATATTTATTAGGTACCTATATTATTTAACTTATACTTAGGTACCTAAGTATTTTATACCATTAGAAATTCGATTATAATAGTATACCTACTAGATTGGTGTTTATTTATTTTTTTTGTTTCATTAAATTTAACAATCGACATTTGTTCTATTTTTTTTAATTATTTATGTAGGTTAATAAATATAAAAATCAATTATCATGTATAATGATAACATATCCATCTACTAATGGAGTATTTGAAGAATCTGTTATGGATATATGTGAAATGATACATTCAAATGGTGGACAAGTAATAAAAATACAATTATTTTATGTCAAATAATATATAACATTTTACTCATACTTCAAAATTAAGGTTTACTTGGATGGAGCTAACATGAATGCACAAGTTGGATTGTGTCGACCTGGTGATATTGGAGCTGATGTATCTCATTTAAATTTACATAAGACATTTTGTATACCTCATGGCGGCGGAGGTCCTGGGATGGGACCAATAGTTGTGTAAGGATTTAAGTGATTTACTGATAGTATTTAGTTTATATATATTTATAATATAATATAATATTTATTGTTAGTAAATCACACTTGGCTCCATATTTACCAACTCACCCAGTTATCCACAGTGGTAATGAACTTAGTTTGGGTACTGTTAGTGCTGCTCCGTATGGATCAGCTTCTATCATACCCATTTCCTGGGCATATATAAAAGTAATTTATATTTTACTTTTATTAAAAATCAATTATTAATAAAAATTCATTTATAGTTAATGGGCTCACAAGGACTCAAGAAAGCAACTCAAGTAGCTATATTAAATGCAAATTATATGAGTAAAAAATTAAGTAGTCACTACAAAACATTGTTTGTTGGTACTAAACGTGGATTAGTAGCTCATGAATTTATAGTAGACACGAGAGAATTTAAAAAGACTGCAAATATTGAAGCTACCGATATTGCTAAGCGATTAATTGATTACGGTATGTATATATTATTTATATATGAATAAATATAATAGATTGTTTTTTTTTAGGATTTCATGCTCCTACTATGTCTTGGCCAGTTGCTGGTACATTGATGATAGAACCTACAGAATCTGAAAGTAAAAAGGAATTAGATAGATTTTGTAATGCTTTAATTAGTAAGTACATTAATTTATTTAATAATTTATTAAAAATTAAAAATGTTTTTGTTTTTATAATTTAAACATAAGGCATAAGAGAAGAAATAAGACAAATAGAGAATGGTATAGCTGATCGAGAACAAAATGTGTTAAAATTGGCACCACATACATTGAAACAAATTTGTAGTGACGAATGGAATAGACCATATTCTAGAAAATTAGCAGCTTATCCAATGGTATTAAAAATTTAAAATCTGTATTATAAATTATAATATAATGTCTACCTACCTAATATTTGTTCATTAGGGACAAGAGCAAAAAGTTTGGCCAAGTGTTAGCCGTATCGACAGCAAATATGGAGATCAAAATGTAGTTTGCAGTTGCCCATTAGTATTTTAAACTTTATAAACATATCAACTTAAACCAAAAAAAAAAAAAAAACAATAACATGAGAATAAATAATATACATTTATTTTATAGATTATTTTAAATCCAAACATAATACCTAAGTATGATTTTTAAAATCTAGTACCAGTGGTACCTACTTATGTGCAATGATAAACTATTGTCGAGTATTGCTAATTTATGATAGAGTAAGCAGTGCTCAAATTAGGAGGGACACATGGGAACTCAGCTTTTAAACTAGCTTTTGATATTAATTAGCATTCTCATACTAAATTTTCCTAAAAGAACACACAGATACGTAATTGAGAAATATAAAATATAAATGACAACGATATATTTATTTTTTTTTGTATATTGTACCATGTTTTACAATTAAATTTCTTACCTATAATGGTTTTTTTCTATTTAATACAACTAAGAAATAAATTAAAAGTTTAAAGTGATTATAAGTGTAAACATATTAGCATTTAGTCAAAAATAATATACATTAGAATTTATTTAATTTAAAATATGATTGTAGTAATTAAGAAAGTATGAGGGCAAAGCTCCCAAGGGTTAATGTTAAATAAATGTTCAATTGGAATGCTGTTCATATAATTTCTATTTGAGTTACCATTCTTTTAATTTATCAATTCGAGCACTGGGGATAAATAACTATAATCTTTCTTTCTATTGCTGAGTACTTGCAAGAACAATATCAGACGGATGTCAGTAAATGATTAAGTAAAATGGTATACCATTAAAATAGTCATGTTCAATGATATTTCTATCTTAGATAATTATACGTCTATATTTATTTGTATTTTATTGTATTGTTATAATAAAATTTTGTATGGACATTTTACTTAATTTGTATAATTTTCATGTAATATAATAATATTGTTAGTCTATGATGACTAATCAATAATGAATATTATATGAAATTATATTTATATACTCTAGTACACCAATTATATACAACTATTTTAGTTTTATAATTTTATTTGTCTTGAATACAATATGATTACAAAATATGCTAGAATTTTATAGTCTATGTTTTAAGTTGACTGTACCACATGTATAATATCTATTCAGTCCTGGATTGAACCAGTGAGCTACTCAGAATTTGAGTTCATAGTAAGACTAAATAAGGTATACATTATAAATAAAATCAAAATAATATACCTTATGAATTATATATTCTACTTAAAAATTAAACACGAAAGTATAATAGAATAGAAAAACAACTAACGGCAAAAATACATAAAATCTAATAGAAAACCAACTAAATATTACTTAGTACCAAAAATCGCCCTCTAAAGTTGAAAATTAAAGCATTGTTAGTTTTTTTTACTGTCCCAAAATGGATCCACATGGTTATAAATATATTTATATGTACATAAAAAAATATGGTAATAAAAACTAGAACAATTTAATATAATAAATGAGTGGAATACTCATTATCTAAGAAGTAGTCATACAATTAATTTTAATAAGGGATAGGATTGGGCATGTGATAAAAATTTGAAATTTCTGTAGGCTCAAATAGCTCGATTTGGTCCTGTTTTTATTCATTATCTTCATGATTTAATTATTAACTAGTTTAAGCTATTTGGCTCATTAAATATGTACACTATCAGTAAAATCGTCTATTGAGTTATTATCAAAATTATAACATTTAGATATTTAAATTAATTTATTAGTTTTTTTCTTACTTAATATGATACATATTTTAATAAAAATGATAAATAGTTATTATTATTATTTTATATGTATTATGCAATTACATTTTAGGTATATATGTTTCATACTTCTCATTTTTTTTTTAGACATAAAATTTATTTTACCTACAATAAATTGTTACAATTAACACATTAAAATAATTTGCTATTTTTCTTATCAATTACTATAACTTAAACTATCATAGATTAATTTTTTAAAGCTCTTCTTGTTAAATATCAAGGAAAATAAAAAATGTATAATAAAATTGTATACTTGCTTACCTTATACAATAAAAAATAAAAAATGTAATTCGTTTAGTAACACAAATTTATTTTATTTAAATTAAAAAATTCAATTTATAATAATTATAATATGAAACATGACAATTGTTTTAATTGAATTTATGACAATAATGTTGACCAGTCAAATCTTTTACAACCTCTAATCTAAGCTGCCAATTTGTTGTTGCATTAATTACAAAAATGTTGCATGACTAGATGTAAATAACTAAATAATAGAGATTCATGTACTTTATTTTTACAAAAAATTATTTTTGAGCAAAATAATAGATAAAAAAAAATCTATAATAAGCCTAATGTTAATAGTGCAATGAATAAAATAATAATTAATGAGAATAAATTTAAAATATAAAAAAAGGCACTACATTGTCAACCGAGGAAGACTTTTATTAATTTTGTACTGTTTATAATAAATGTAAAGTCATGCGTGGCAATGGAAAAGTAAAATGCTTATTTTTTTAAAAGTATAAAATTAACCATTTAAACATATCTTTGGTAAACAATAATATTTAACTAAATGGCACTGATTTTGGTCTTGGATTTCAAGCTAACATAGAATTAATGCCAAATAGATTTGAATAAATGATTCGTAAATTAAAAAATTAAGAATGAAGTGTCTGAACAACCCTTTTAAATTTTTATACAGAGGTAGGAATATAGCTGCTTTCTTCAGTCTATCATACTAAGCTATAATGCATTTCCTTTGCTGGTGCTTAAGTGGTACTGGTCGTAAAACAGCTCTTACAGCTTCATCAAATACCTTGAGGATTCACAATAATAATTTTAATATCATAAAATAATTAACTTCATCAGAAACTACAAATTATTTTACTTACCAGTTTTAATCCTCTTTGAGTCAATGCGGAACATTCGAGATATTTTACAGCTCTTATTTTATTGGCCAACTTTTGTCCTTGTTCACGTTTGATTGGGGACAGTCCTTGTTCAGATAAAACATTTAACGTTTCTTTGTCTTCTCTTAAATCTATTTTTGTACCAACTAAAATCATAGGAGCATCTGGACAGTGATGCTTAATTTCAGGATACCATTTGGAAACCACATTTTCAAAAGAAGATGGACTAGCAACACTAAAGCAGACCAAAAATACATCCGTCTGAAAAAAAAAAATGAAAACAACAAAAATGAAAACAATAAGTGAAATAACAAATATTAACCTGTGGATAGGAAAGAGGTCTTAGACGATCATAATCTTCTTGACCAGCCGTATCCCATAAACCAAGACTGACGGGAATACTATCAACCACCATGGGTGCAGAGTAGTTATCAAATCTATAGAACGACAACCAATACTTAATAATATTGCTTAGCCAATTGTTTTTAATTATTTGATAGTTTAACACTTACACAGTAGGTACGTATTCCCCTGGAAAGCTGTCAGTAGTATACGATATTAACATACAAGTTTTGCCCACGGTACCATCGCCAACCACTACACACTTGATTGGCCGTCCTGCTGACATATTTTGATCTTAAATATTTTATTTTATTAATTTTCTGTGTTGTCTGTTGAAATCCCAATGCACAATCTGTTTGTATTTCAAAATGGAATATATTATATACATTTACAATTCCGAGAACTCGCCGTATAAAAACCAGGCCTTTAACAATACTTTATCGGTTTAACAGCCACTAAATATAATAGGCATGACCCGTGTCAATTACTTTTAATTAGTTTAATGATTAGCAAATAAAAAATAAATTAAAAAAATTTACTTTACTATTATCATTTGTTATTTATTTATCAACATTGGGAGACGGTTATCATTGTAGAATTGGTTATTGGTTGTATGTTTGAGGTTACACGGGTACAACCACCTAATAGATCAAAATATATTTATGGCTAAAATTAATTTAAAAATTCAAAAATCAGATTTTGAAAAACTTCAATTAGAGTGGCAAACTAAACAATTTTAAATTTGAGACAAGACAAAAAATAAAGAGCCCACTTACCAATAATATTGATTTTTATACAGCAAAAAAAAAAAAACATAGTTATATTTTATTAAATATTTTTCAATTTGTAACATTCATCACACGCCCCATCATTTTAGACTTGAGGTAATTGCCTCAAAAATATTAATTAGCTCATCACTGATTCTATAATATTGAAGAAAAAAATAGAATGGTACGCTTAGTGAACTACTCTGTCTATACTTTAATTTAAGCCTTCTTAATAATCGATTCTTTGTCAGTAAATATTTTAAAATAGGACATAAACCGTAAACATCTAACAAGTTTAAAGAACTAAAGGTCAATAATAGATTATAGATGTACTGAGTTTGTTACAGACTTCCCCAATAGATTACACTTTTGACATACAAATAAATAAATAAACAAATTCAAAAGATTTCCATTATGATGGAAATAAAATATAATTTCAGCGGAGCATTTCTATTTTCTATATTAATCCTTCTTCAAGATAAGTGCCAGTATTAGGATTTACGAGGCACCCAGTCAATTTTCAAAACATACTAAAAATTATTTTACAGTTGTACTTTTTTTTATATTATTTATTTCTACGCATAGGTATAAATGATATAATATAAAAATGTTTATACTAAAAATATCATAAATTCTTATTCTTGATAGATAATTAATTATTATTAGTAAATGTGGGTTGTACAAAACTGAGTAATTCATAAAAAAAAACGCAGGTAACTAGTTGCGAGGACTCTGTACATTCTTGTCACGCCGGCACTGTTCAAGATAACAGAATATTCATTATATTATAAAAACATTGAATACTTTTGATTTTTTTCTCCTGTCTAAAAAAGCTTCAGATTCCCATTTTTTTTTTTTTTTATTACTATTTAATTTTTAGGAATAAAAATCGAGTAAAATATTAAGAATTACCAAAGTCCCCGTTTTGAATATAACATCATTAGTCTCAACTCTCAATAATTATGTATTTTGGATGGCCAAATATCTTAGAATTAAACTTCAAAATGTATGTTAACATTATATCTTTTACTAAACATTCTAATAGAAACCATTATAGTTTTGATAAATAATAATATAATAAAGTTGAGATTACTTAATTAAATGACAAAATCTATTATTAAGTTATTTTTCAAGCTTGGCGATGACGATATTAAAGAAAAATTCATTCATTTTAAGTTATATGTTTTGACGTTTTATTATTTTTAAATGTGTAAGTACACAGACATCATAAATCATAATACTCATAATCGGCATAATCCAGTAACTGATCTAACCCTGGAAATCATAATATTATAATTTTTAATAAAATTGATTACAAGGCATTTTAGACGCAACTAAACATACAGAAATACATCATTCTTATTATTCGACTGCAATGACGTATATTTACAGAACCTTCTACTATAGTATTAAAATATGATTGTATCAACTATCAATGTCATCGTTTTCTCATCCTATTTGAAAAAAATTTTAATTATATAAAGTTCCGTTTGATTATAAGAGATTTTAAAAAAGATGATCTCATAAAATGTTATAGGTAAGTGAACTTTAATTAGGTATTTTTAAAATTTTTCTTTCAAAAACTGTTAGTTATTTAAATATAACAAATAATTCTATAAAATAAAATATTATTTTTGTAAAAGTATTTATTGGAATACTATTATTAATAAACACATTTTTACTTTTCTTAAAGTGTACCTTAAAGTCTTACCCAGATTCCAAAATTAAACTATGTATCTTTTATTCTGTTCACTGTATATAGCCATACAGGATAATATTAATGCACAATATTATACAAAAAAAAAAACTTATATTATATAAATAGTAGTTTTATTATACCATAAATCATCATATTATTTAGTTCATTCTTAATTTATAAGAATGTTAAATAAAATATTTTAAAATTTACAATTTAAGCTTAAATAACAAGTATGAAAAAATAAATATTTAATAATATAATAAAAACACAATAAGTTTACTATAAAGTTAGTATACTATTTTGTAAAATATAAAATTAAAATTAAAAATATTTATTGTATTATGGATATTAATTAATTATTAATTTATTATGTTTATGTAGGATTATTTTATAAGTGATGAAAATAATACAGATACTTATTAAAGGAATATTAAAACTCAATTTAGTGTATACAAAAAGTTTTTAATTTTAATTTTTAAAACATTTTTAGTCAAGTGTGAATATTCTAGCAGAGATATCACTAACCATCCAATTTATGCCTTCCAACAAGTTCTCCCCAGTATATGCACTACAATGTATTATTTTCCAATGATGAGTTTTAATTCGATCTAATTGCAACACCTAAAATTTAATAATAAAATATAATATATAAATTGATTACTTATCGTAAATAATACATTTTATGAGTTATATTTTTAAAATTATACCTCTTTTATTTCTTCTGGTGATAAAGCACCTGGTAAATCTTGTTTATTAGCAAATATCAATAAAGTAGCTCCAGCCAATCTCTGAAAATATATTTTATATAAATCTAATAAACCAGTAATTCATTCATATTTAAACATAGCTCATCAATGGCTAACACAAAAAAATTAGGATGATACTTATTATGGTATTTTGAAAAAATATCTTATAATTTTTAAATTGTTATTAATTAAGGTGTTTGGCAAATTTAAGTACCGATATTTCCTGTCTCTGCTTTTCACACATGCAAGATAGTAAAAATTACTCATTTAGCAACTACCAATAAAGATTCTATAAATAACATCATATTCAGTTTCAAGACTATATAAGATTGGAAAGGTAAATTTTTTGAATTGAACATTTTGAAAACTTTATTTATTGTGTTAAAAATAATTAAAATTAAAAAAAAATGTCCAAATGATCTTATGTACACTTCACACTGATTTAAAATCTCTGACTATAATCTTTACTGCTTTACTACATCAATCGTTTTGAAGGAAACAAAATGGATATCTTTTACTTTTTACTATGCTTCACATATGGAAAAGGAGATAAAAATGTTAGGACCTAATCCTCTTAATGGTACGTTATTGTTTTTTGTAGTTTCTGATATTTTGGTAAAACCATCAAAATCTTCTAATTTATATTCATGCCTATATATTATATTTTAAAATACCTCTTCTTCAATTAAACTATGTAATTCATTAGTACAATCACTCAGTCTTCTCTTGTCAGCACTGTCAACAACCCATATAAGGCCATCAGTACTTTCAAAATAATTACGCCAATATGATCGCAATGACTTTTGACCACCAACATCCCATACATTTAGTTTGTAACTGAAAAAAATATGGTGATTAACATAATAAAAAAAATAAGAGTATAATTGTTATCTGTAAATTTATTATTTAGTGAATACTATGAATAATATATCGTTTTAATGTCCCTAGAAATTTAGATTAAAAAATAAATATTTAATATTAATTATTTGATAAGTTACCTTTTATGATCTAATGTTTTAATGTTAAAACCCAAGGTTGGCTCAATTGTATTAGTTGGCTCTCCATTGTATTTTTTTAATATAGTTGTTTTTCCAGCATTATCTAAACCTCTGATTTGGTAAGAATATTAAGGATAAATAATCAAGTCTATTTAATTTTTGAAATATTAAATTGTTTATAAAATTTATAATTACTTTATAAATTATTATAATTTATGAATCAACATAAACCTATAAACTTATCACATATTATTAATTACTTAAAGTAGCAGCCAGTTAGGACTTATATTGTAATAAGTACATTTGATAAGTTAATAATTTTGGTTAATTCAATAAATGGTCGATGGCTGTAATAGGTAATTAATTATACACACGTTTTAAAAAAGGATACAAAATTAAGATTCTCATCTCTTTTTCTTTCTGCTTCATTTTCTTCAAAACTGTCATCAGTCCCATTTTGCACAAAATTATAAAATATATTTAAAGCTCTATATGTTTGTTAATCTCTATATTATATTAATTTGTACATGCATCCGTCAGTTGTAATATTAAGTTATTTTAAACCAAAAAATGAGTATTTTTATAGATATTAGAGAATGAGAATAAGTTTACAAATTACGATATTGTGCCCATATCGGCCATATAAAAGACTAAATAATGATTAAAATGATAACCCAGTAACTGCTAAGTAGTTAGTCTCAAAACCTGAATCAGCTTATCACTTATCAGTCTTATCATATTTTATGATATTTTCATTACTCAGTTTTTATTTTGACAGATATGATGTCAGATGATTAAATCTTGTCAATTTCAAAATTTCTATCACAAAAATGAAATATTAATCGATCGACCATCATCGACTCCAAACTTGTGTAAAAGTAAAATTGTGTACTGTTAACTGAACACCAGTGTGAAATATGAATTTTGAAATTTAAGTATAAAATTATTGTTTTAAGTGTTTTATAATTCGATCACATAAAGGCCTATCGGGTTTATAAAAATAATCTCATTTAAATACTTTTTAAAATTATTTAATTTATATATTCAATATGGACCGATTCGAATATGCTAGGCCTGATCCAGCCGAGACTGTTTTATGGCGTCATAGCAATATTACTTTGTACGATGGCAATTACAAAACTTCGTTTCATCGTGGTAATATCATCTTAACAGCCACACGTCTTTATTGGATGTCTGGCGATGCGTGGTTGTCGTTACAGCTTCGGTACATAGTATATATTGAATCTACAGTTACTGACACTTTATTTGGTTCGAAAACTAAAACCATTCTTGTTCATTTATTACCCTCTGATAATGAAAATCCAGGCCCTGTGTCTTGTGCCAAAGGCGAATATATCAAACTTGATTTTAAGGATAAAATTCCGGATGGTTTTTTTGATATATTTCAGAAGACTGTTGAAGAAAAAAAGTGGTCTATTAACAAGACTGTTAATCGACAAATTCGAACAGGAATTGGAGGGATTGAAAAAAATATTTATGAAAAACAAAAAGCATCTGATATTAGTATAACAGATGCTTTTAAAGACTTAGACAGACTTATGGTTACAGCTAAAGATATGGTAGCATTAAGTAAAAATATTTCTGAAAAAATTAAAGAAAAACAAGGAGGTATTAGTGATGATGAAACAGTGCGTTTCAAGTCTTATCTTTTAGGTCTTGGTGTTGATGACCCAGTTACTAGATCATCATTCACTGATTCAAATGCATATTATACAACACTATGTAAAGAAATAATCAAAATTATTCATATTTCATTAGAAGAAGTTGGTGGTACAATGGCTCTCGCAGAGGTTTATTGTCGGGTAAATAGGGCTAGAGGATTAGATCTTTTATCACCTGAAGATTTAATGCATGCATGTTATATGATGAATACTGATCAATCATCGCCTGTTAAACTAAGAAAATTTGACAGTGGAGTATTAGCTTTACAGTCATCTTTATGTGACGAATCTGTTGTATTGAAAAAAACTGTTGAAGCATTACAAAAAAACGGATCATTAAGTGCTCAAGAATTGTCAACATTAATTGGAGTACCAGTTGTATTAGCTAAAGAGTATTTGTTATCTGCTGAAAAACATGGCAAGTCATGTCGAGATGAAAGTATTGAAGGTTTAAGATTTTATCTTAATAAATTTGTAGATGAAAACATGTAAAATAATAATTTCTAAAAATTGTTGATCAATAATAATATATTTTTAATAATACCCTAAGATTATAAATATTTTTTAATTTATACTATATATTATATATATATATCTTTTTTTTACAATTAATTTAAGATTAAATATTTATATTCGATATAAACAACTTAATGCGTGAAAAAAAAAATGAGACTGTTAAAATAAAAATTATTAGAGAATAGATATAGTTAATACATTTAATCTTTAGTATTTTATTATATTTTAATTAATTATTAATTTAATAAAATTGTTAAATATACCTACCTATGTATCTGTAATAAAATATAAATTACAGATAAAAATATTTCTTGGTGTTTTTTTTTTCAATAATAAATAATATAGTTAATTACAAACTAATTACTAAAATTATTTCAATGTCTTAATAATAAATTGATGATTACTATTATATTATTGACTTTATCACTTGGTGGTAACATAAAATAATATTGAATCTCAAATTATTTATTTGCTCACAAAAGCATTTGATTGTTTATTTAATAAATTATAAAATTATTTAATCGATTACATAATATATATAATTGGATATATTTTTTTTTTTTTGAGTATTAAATTACCTACTGAAATATAATACCTAATATTTATAACCAGTATTTGATCTATATTATTTTCATGATATAAGTTTTCAAATATTATTTACCATATGTCCATATACCTAATACAGTAATGTGCAATAGCATTACTATTATACATTGGTAATCATTATGTAATAGTATCGTACATATTTAATGTTGTGACTTATACTATTGTCTAATTATAAAACTTTTAAAGACAACTAGTGGATATACAATATTAGTCTGGGATTATAATAGATAAAAATTAAGAATCTAAAACCAAATGGATAGAAAAGTACTTTAAATTTACTTTATAATATAATTTACAAGTAAAATATAAAATGTTTTGTTTTATTTTTATTTTGTTAGACTAAAAGTAATGAAGATCTATACACACCAAGTTTATGGTGTAAACGGATGGATCCAAATACAGTGGTCAATAAACATATTGAAATAGTTCAGTTAAGTAAGTTTAACTAAGCACTAATAAAAATATATAAAAACAGATATTTATATAATTTGGTTTAAATATATTTAGTAAGTGAAAAAATTAAGAAATCTAGGTATAGTATATCAACAAATATTAGATATGGATCTGGTGATCAACAACTATTAGATGTTTATGAAGATGAACTGACTTCTTTGGATTATACTTTTGTTTATATTCATGGAGGGTATTGGCAAGACTTAAACAAAGACATTTCTGCCTACTGTGTAGAACCATTGGTAAATGCTGGAATTCGAGTAGTTATTCCTGGCTATGATCTAGCACCAAAAGGTACATATTATCATCCATTCATTTATTTTAGAATTAAAAAAAAAAAAATAGTTAACAACTAGATAACCACTCTACTATATAGTACCTAGATGTCGAGTGTTCCTAATAAATAATAATACTCGTAAATCATTGCATACAAAAAATGACTTTCTAACCTAGTCTTTATTACAAAGTAAGTAATAACTAGTAACTTTATTTTATGTGATTTACTTTTATTACTATTATTGGCATTTATTTTATTAGTAGTAATACAGTAGGTTTAATTAGTTACTGACATTAACTTTTAAGTCAGTGCTGACTTACTGTGGAACACTATGAATAGTTTTGTGGTATAAAATAGTAACAGATTAAAATTAATCTAAATATTTTGAAAATGTCATTGTGTATTTAAAATATAATATATACAAACGTTATTAGGTCCCCACGAATAACAATATTTTTAAATTACAATAAAATTACTAGAATCCTAATTCTTTGTTTAAATTGGATTTATCTAATTTTGTCCAAATTTAAAAATTATGTCTATAAAAAAAAATTGTATATATACTTTTTTTTAGACTTATTAAATCCTATATTATTTTTTAAGTTTCAATAGGAACTATTTATAAAGAACATAGTATTATATTTTCATGCAAATAAAAATTAAAAAATGTCAATAATTTAAAATATATACATATCAATAAATAGCTAGCATAAGATCCACAAAATATTTAAAAAAATCTTGTCTAGTAAATGCAAATATGAATATTTTAATTCTGTAGAAAACTTGTTTTGCATAAAAATTTCTCAGTTACCTATTTATTTTGTTTTTAATAGTTATTTTTAAAAATACTGGGAGTTTTTACTTTTAATCCCCAACTAAGGTTGGTACTAGATCCAATTTTTCAATAAACCATGTTCAAAATGAAATATAAGATCAAAGCACTTTTACTGCATCAAAAGGTAACAACACACAAAAATAAGATAATTTATTATAGAATCAATACATTCATCATTTTGCACAGAATTTAAAAAGCCACTAGTTTAACATACTTAAAAATATTTTTTGTTTTAGTAACTCTGCATAATATAGTTGAAGAAATTCATCAACTGTTATCATATTTAAAAGATTGTTTAAAATACAAGTAAGCTAAAATAATAATATTATACTAATTTATATTTAAAATTATATGCGATTCAGCAATTTAAATATTTTACATAAATATACTTAAGTATAATTATTGATATTAATTACTAATAATAATTCAAATTAGATACCTATCAATTGTTTTAGTATAATGATATAATTGTGAATAATGTATAATAATAAACATAATTATTGTTTACAACCAGAAATATTTGGTTAGGAGGGCATTCAGCAGGTGCTCATTTAGCTGCATCTATGATACATTCTGAAGTAAATGAAAATATTGGTGTTAAAGGATTTATACTCATCAGTGGTATATTTGATCTTAATCCATTATTGGAGACTTCTATCAATAAACCACTGAAGCTTAACAAGTATTATACCTATTTTAGTAATTGTAACTCTATATTAGTGAATTAATTGTGTAATTTAAAAGAGTATAAATAATAATAAGCAACTTACCATCACAAAATAAATTATAGTTGAGTTGGTATTTTTCTTATGTTATTACTGTTATTAGATATTCCTAAAACATATATTGATCCAGCATTTGGGTGCTGTGGCCGACTTAAAAATAATATCCTTTGTACAATTAATAACCAATTTTTTTGCAAGTTTAAAATCACGTTTAAAAAATTTTATTATTTTTTTTCAGAGAAACTTGTCTACAATTAAGTCCACTAAATAGTTTATGTGGACTTGATTTTACAAATTTTATGTCACAAGTTCACGTAAAAGTTCTTGTAGTTTATGCAGAAAATGATTCTCCAGCTTTCCATTTTCAATCAAAGCAGTTTACTAAAGTTAGTTACATTTATTTTACTCTTTGTTATCATAGTATCATTGACTATAAATATTACATTTTTATTTTAGTAACAAACAAATCAGAACTATTACCACTTAATTACCTTTTTTTTTTTCTTATGATATCGAGGACTGGAGGAGGAACCATGGTACCAGTACTTCTCCTCCAGCCCCAACCACTTAATTACCTATACCTATTTATTTTTATTATTTGAAACTTGAAAGTACTGTTAAAATTATAATACAATAAGTATATACATATATAATATAGCAAATTTATACTAAAAACTAATAACTGGTTTAATAAGCAATATTATTCAACATTTATCAGTATAACACATAGTAGGTTCAATTTAATTAATAAATATAATTTATTATGTATAAAAAGAAATACATTTTTAAAAACCAGTAGGTATATAGGTCTCAGGTCAATTAGTATCTTTCAAATCCATTTTTGTTATAACTTATAAATAATTGAGTTAATTATGTACAATATACCTTATTATTCATTTAAATTACTTATTTTAATATTGGGACTATTTATACAATAAATTTGAATAGATATAATTAATAATAATAGACTTTAAAATTATTTATAGCTAGTAAGTTTAGTACGCTTTTGTAGGTAGGTAGTCTTAGTGTCATTAATTAGTAATTACCAATTATTATTTATTATAGTAAATCTCATATTAGACCTTTCACGGCAAGTTTAATTATTTAAAATAAAATTGTATTATTAATACTTTTATTTACGTGTAAATATTTTTATTTCTCATAAATCATGGCTAATAGATATATAATTTAAATATTTAATAACTTAACATTATAGATTCATATAATCAATTATCTATAGTTAGCTTGCTAAATTAATGTCCTAATATGAAATCACCTGTCATATATTATTGAAAATCAAGTTTTGATAAAAATAAAAAATAATGTAGATAGGTAAATACTGCAATTCAATGGATGCTGTGCTATATATATATATTTTATATCTATTTTGTTTTTTATAACAAGTATCCAAATGATACCTATAAACAATATTAACATATAACATAAGTAGTCAATGGTGGCTATCCTATGGTTTATATGTTGCTTCAGAAACACAAATACCATTTGGCGCTAGTGTGGGTGGTTGGACTTCACACTGAAGTTTCAAAGTAACTGAATAACAGTATTTAATTATAAGTTATATTAACTATACATCTCTACATGATATTTAACTATTAGGCATAAAAATATAAGGATCAATATATGAATATTTTTACTATTTTGAAAAACAAGCCCAATAAGTTTCAAGTCTATACTATACTATTTAAATTAATAAATTAATATAAAGTGTATGATACTATATGTCATTAACAAGTATATAGAAGTAAATATGTAAACTGTATACCTATATATATATTTTTTTATGTATTATAGTTTTTGGACAAACTTGGTTTAGAAGTAACAGAAGAAAGAATAAATGGAGTAGATCATTTTGACATTGTAGAGAATCTTGCAAACAAAGACTATTCTCTTACAAAAACAATTATTAATTTTATTCTGAACTAACACAACACTGCCATGTCAATGAAGTAAATTAGTATTATTATACAGGTAGCTCCTATGTATTTATGTATACCTATTATAAATAATCTAAAATTATATGATTTATACAAGACATAAAGATGTATCAATCAATATATTCAATATTATTATCTACCTATGTATTTAATTTATACTGCTTAGCCATAATATAGGTACCTCTAATACTCATGATATTTTACAAAGTAAAAATTGATTTAATTGTAGCTTCTGACGGTAATAAACCCTACTTAAAACCATCGTAGTAAAAAATTATTATAAATTGTTTAGTCATTTATTTTTTATACTATCAACATTCAACACTTAACATTATAATCATCGTCATTCAGTGAGTCACTATTTTTCTTTATAATTTTCTGTTATATTGACAATTTAGCATGTCTGCATTGCTGCTAAACGATAAAGTTGAATTAAATGTTTAAATTGTTTTGTTATAAGATTAAGACATAATAAAATGCACAGTAAAATTAGTGTAACTTCGTAAAATTATCAGACAAACACTTATATAATACCTATCAAACCCATTATTTTTGTATTATATTTTCAAAACAATTAACTGAATTAATAAGAATAAAATAATAAATTGATATACCAGGTAAAAATGAAAATGTTATTTTATTTAAAGCATAAAAAAATAAATAAAAACTTACAGTTTAAAAGATTATCAAATAATTAAAAAATATAAGCATGTTGTTCAATTAAATTTTACAACAGTAAAATACATTTCATATTATAGTTCAGTATTGCATGATAATTAAATGGCAAGAAATGATTAAATAATAATAATTAATAATATGATAATAAGTAATAGTTATAAAATAATAAAATAGAAGAGAAAAGAAAATTAGAGTAATTTACATAAGCTGAACAATTTAGAAAAAATTTTGAGCACATGCTTTCTATATTATACTTATCATAAATATTTGTGTATATCTAATTAATTAAAATTTAAAATTAATAATAAAAAAACTATATGACTAGGGAACGCCATTTTTACTTATTTTTATATTTCCATGATGTGATCTGAGATTGCCGAAAACTCTGGGGGACTTGCATATGTTCTGAAATACAAAAAACAATTAAATTATAGAATATTAATAATTATTGTCCAAAATTTTTAACTATTGTATGCTAATGGACGATGGTTTAATCTAATAAAAATTTAAAAAAATGATTGGTGATTGCATATAACTAAGGGAAATTTTAAATTATTTTTTATTATTTTACAGAGAGATTTTTTTATTGAATAATACTCAATATTTCAAAATCTATTTATGTTTTTACATAATATTTAGTTGAAATAAAACAACACTTTAAAAAAAAAACATTATGTTTTTTCATCATTATAAGTTTTTTACTTTTTAATGAAAATATACATTTTTAATTTCATATTTTGAATCTGAATATTTTTTGGAGTACTTGTTGTGTACAAATTTAAATTCGGCTAAGTATTTTATGAGTAAAAAGTATTTAAAGTTATAACCATTGATAATAAATACTATTTATCTATATATAACCAATGGTATGGTGACTGAAATTTTTTCCGAGACAAAGAAAAATATACCAAGAACCCACTCATCACTATATACGCAAAAATAATGGTTGGGGACGGGGACTAACATAAATTTATATAACTAATGCATAATAATATGATACAACTAATTATATTTCAGATCAGTATTGATTACTTATTGATTATTACATTAAATTTAAAATTAGAAGACCAAACGACCACCACCCTACTCATTATTTAAGACATTTTTAGAGGCAATAGTCATTTGCCACGTCACTATATAATATAATGCTGTAACTCATAAACTACTCATTTTATTTTTAAATTTTATACATCGAAATACTCCGATAAATATTCTAATTCAGAATATGAAATTAAAAATGTATGTCATCAATGTTATCATTCAAAAAAGTAAAAAACTTTTAAAAATACATTTGTTTAATTTTGACTGGAAATTATATGTATAAAAAAAATATTCAAAAAACATAATGAGATAATAGATGTTTAAATAATAACTGTTGTCTGATAAAAAAAAAAAAAAAAAACACCAAATATATACTAATTTAATATTTTTATAATTAATAAAGGCGTATAGTATTTTCATAAAATACAAGGATATTCTACTTGAAATTCTTGTTAAATTTGTTTTCGTATTTTAAGTAGGTGACTGATTACATACCTCTTATTATGCAGGGTTTACAAAATGCTACCAATAATAAACATTTTTTTAAACGTTCAAAATTCTTGTAAAAAAAAATACAAATGTTTTAAGAAATGTTTAATTAAAAAAAAATGTATAACTTTTTTAGTTTACTTAATAAAAGTTAAACCTTAAAATCGCACACTATAAATTGTGATACCTAATATTTAATATTATCATTATGAAAAAATAATTCATGAACATTGAATGTTGTTAACAAAATGTATTTTATGATCACAGATTCGCAGATCATATTTAAAAGTTAAAACTAACCCATTAATGTCCTCCCTTTTATCGATTGTAATTGAATTTATTGATATAAATCAAATCAATTTTATCTATCACTGGAATATAGTGTTCAAACACTATAAACCTTCTTGTAAGTTTTTCACTAAAAATGAAATTTTTTTCATAAATTATAAACAATGTACACTTTAATATAAATCATCCTACGCTGAATTAAATATAAATATTATTCTTGTCTTGATAACTTAAATAACTAATAACTAATAAGTAATAAGTAATGACTAATGACTTATTTTATCGATATTATATTATATTTATTATTTACATAGTACTTAATGGTATTTTAAATAGTAATTTATAATTACTATAATATAATAATCAATGATAATATAGTTGATGATTTTATTTTTTTATATACCTATTGTTAGAATTAGTTTTATATAATATAATAAATATTTTGGCGTGATTAGTTTTTTATATTGTTCATTAACAATGACAGATTTCATAAATGTCATCGCCGGTATACTATGGACACCTAATAACTAAAGGTATAGTAACCTACATTTAAGTTCTATTTAAATATAATATTAATTGAATACTTTTAAATGTAATTATACGTCTATACGGCTCATTAGTTATTACAATTCTTAGTATTTAATGTATCTATATATAATATAATATCCTTTACAACTACGAATAGTTTAAGTAAACTGTGAAATAAAATCCCACTTCTCAGACATACAATATTTCAATATATTATACAAAAGATTATGAAATAAAATTATTAGTTTCTTTAAATATTTAATACGTTAATCCTTCGATGAATTTATTGTTTTTTACTTAATCTCATCCAACCCGAATAATGGTACAACAATCGAGGTTGTTAGGTGGTTTTTACTATTTACACTGTGACCCCAGAATACCTAGGTACTTAAATTTTTTAAATAAATAATTAATATTCTTATTAAGATATTAAAGTATACATTTACTAAATATCGAAATATAATATGACAATTCATGAATTAGGTACGTAAATATACGTCATTAAATCTTCGTAGGATAAAAGGACATACAAATCAAATTACATAAATTTGTTATAAACGTAAATTCTAATCAAAGGGTTAGTATAAAAAGAGATTAAAAATACAATTATTGAATAAAATGGGCGATGAATTAATTATTACACCATTTTTCTTTTTTATATTTTGACTTATCTACTGAGTAAAAAAATTTGGTTATATTTAATTTTCTGCAAACTAGTTTGGTAAAAGGTTTTCTAATTTATAGGACATTTCCTCTGTGCGTTTTTTCTCTGACTCAACGAATACCACCCATATGGTACAATTTTTTCATCACCCGAGTAAATTTTTAATAGTACAAATATTAAATTATACAGCAAATAATTATTAAATACAAATTTATAAAAAAATTATAAATATTATAAATTAATAAATAACTTTTTTTTATCATTATCCATTAATGTTTAAAACATAAAAATATAATTCAAATTAAACGTTATAAAAATTAAAAATTTACTTGTGTAAATATTACAAATAAAAATTAAACAATATTAATTAAAAATCAAAAATTGTAACTTATATTCTTATTTAATGAGATAACTCATCAACTCTAAAAAATTTAAATTATCTTAATTTAAAAAACTTTTTCATAACTTTTTTATTCAATGGGCTTTAATAGTAAATACTAAATAATAATGAAATTTTTGGGGAAGTACCGAAAAAATTTTATGTACATTATTTCAGGAATGAAACGTTCAGTCTCGCTTCAAAGTAAAAAATGAGAAAAGGTATGGGGTAGAGTGGTAGACATCTAAATACCAAAGTTCTTTAAATATTTTTTCCCGGTGTCTACAGTTATGAAATGTTTAAAATAAAAATATAGATTTATTTTATGAAGTTTATTATAATATAACATTATTATTTATTATTTTATGTTATATTAATAAAAGTAAAAGTTTAATATATACATAATACACGTCATTAGATCAATAAAATTTGAAGTCTCTAACATTATCATTACAATAAAAAAAAAAAAAAAAAACGGTGTAACTAAAAATATATTACAACTTATAACTAATTGTATTACTATTATTTTAATTTTAATATTTTGTTTAATTTATTGAAACATTTTATTTTTGATTAATACGGCTATACTCATGTTAGTAAATTGACTTTTACTATTAGCTACGTAAAAACAATTTTAAACAAAAATTGTTTTTTATTAATTTAAAAATATTTATATTTTTCTTGAATATAAATTTATTGCACTTTATTAATAGGTAGTTAATATAACATAGATAATATAGGTATCTATACTAATAAATGGTAAGTATGCCAAAAAATTATAATATGTTGAAGAAAATTATATAAAATTATTCAATAATCTCAACAAATAATGTATATACATAGGATGTAGATAAGTGAGAAACATTTAAATAATTGTACTAATTGTCTTACCTTAAATAAATTGCATTATTAAGCACGGACCGATTGCATACGATTTATTTGTTTTTGAAGTTTTACGTAAGTAATCTCGAGTTTTTGCTTCTTCTTGGCGATTTCTATTTCCTGTTCCTTTTTCTTTAATCTACTAGTCTTAGCCGCCTCGTTGTTCTTTTGCCGCTTTATGTAATAGTCCTGCATGCTATTATTGTTGTTATTGCTGGACGAATTTTTCGACGAATTCATCGTGTAACGGATGGAAAAACGTTCAATTTATCAATCGAATTCGCGGAATGAAAACAAAAAAATGTTGGCAGAAAAAACTTAGTTGACGTAACAATTGTCGTAAGAAAATTCTACTGGAGACGAACGTAGTACTGCACACGAGCGATTTCTATGTAATAATAATATTAAATCGTTGAACTGGAGCTACCCGATGAGGTAGAAGCAGCAGCGCACAAAGCCCACCAACAGACCCGTATAATAGTAACGTCGCACAGGAAATGATGTACATATCGACAAATGTCTTTTTGTCAAACATATTATATTATTCTACTGCAAAATTTTACTATAGATCCAAGCTAATGAGATACTAATAGCTTTGCTCGCTTTAACTACACCTCACCACAAACCCACTCGTAGATCCTGTTTACCTATGTATATTCACATGCAAGCCGTGGGAGATATTATTTGGACAGTAAGTATTTCCGTCAGGTCGATCGTCGGTGTAATTGTTAGTATTGAATGGTGTTGCCCATTAACAATTTAAAAAGACTTTTACAATAATATGGCATTTAAAAAGGTATAGCTTGGATAGGTAGGTGCTTGTATAAATGCTGCTGCAGTTACTACCTATAACAATACGATTTACACATTACCGTTTGCATTGTATTTTGACGAGACCGGAAGCCCGATACTTCAAAATAAAGATCATTAAATATAGCTACAATATAATAGCTATTTAATAATAGCACATTATTTAGTTAATAGTTATTCGTTAAAAGGAATATATTGTGTCGTTTAAAGCTAATAATAATAAATTATATAGGTATTATAAATTATCCATTATATTTCTTCTACGTGTATCCGTTAAATTGAAATAATTTAAGGAAATACGATTTAACGTTTCGTATTTTGTGAAAATATATATTATTATGTTAACTATTTAATAATTACAATTATTATTTACTGCGCATTTTATCTAACTTCGCAAACCTCTACTGAACATTTGAGTGATTTCATACGAATTAAATTGTATCCGCAAACTTATAAAACATTATTTAAAATAAGATATAATATTTATTTAGTTGCTGATTAACGAATTATTCGACATTTTTACAATATCATTTATAATGTATATGATAATAATTATCTATTATAATGATAATCTTAAAATAAAACTTTGTTTAAAACGATGTGTTTTTTAATTTTTATTCAAAACAACTGAAGTATAATTATTACATTTTTTATATTTTTATATTGTATTAGGTATATATAATTATTGTCATACCATGGTATAGCATAGTCATAGTCGTATATATTATAATGTACACCTGTAATTAAAATAAAAAATATTAAAACTAAAGCTTATACAGCTAATATGTATACATACTATTATTTATATTTTAAATTAGGTGGTATTCTATCTATAGAAGTCCGATAAAAACAAGTTAAACGAATAAAAATCCGATAAAAATCTAACATTTATTGTTATATAGTTACGTTATAGTCGTAATATTAGTACGTAGGTACTATTATTTTTTGAATTAACATAAAATGCAAAACTTAGCATTTAACTTTTATACTTTACTTTCTTTATTTGTTTAAATAGGTACATACTAACATACTATAGGTACACCTTTTTATTAAATTTGAACTTGATCAACCCTGCTTTGGGAGTAAATATAGTCTACCTAGAAGGGGAAATGGACCGTACTGAATTGGGGAGGGAGTTAATTGAATGTAGACCTATGCTTACTTAATATGGTACCAAACAGATGAGTTACCTATAGAGGTAAAGTTTAAGTACAAATATAGTTGCTCCCTACACACGTATATATTTGATAAGGTATTAATATTTAATATAATATACCATTTTGATTTTAAATTGCCAATTAGCTTAATAGTTTTTTATAAAAATGGTAAGCATAAAAAAACAAAAATAAATATTAAAAATGCCATTTTTTAGAACTCTAAATTAAAATAACAATTATTGGAAAAGTTGAGAATTTAAAGATTTTGCCAAAAACTTTCAAAAAGAGTTTGAGAGCCTTTTTTCTGACAATATACCATCAGATTTAGAATGCAAAAACTAAAATTCCAAAAAAACTGCTTGGTTAGGTTAAATTGTATTTATATTGATTAAAATTACTAAAGATATGTGTCCTAAAAAAAATTTAATTGTATCCAATTTTATTGTCTTATTAATTAAACTTTTTTTTTAATAATCATAAATTTTGAAAAAACTCGATCATTATTATCAATTTTATTTTCATCATCTGATTGATCAATAGATAATGGTATCATATTCATCGTCAAGTTTCTGCATTGTACAAAATTCCGGAATGACTGAAAAAATCAGTTGGATTCAGTGTTAATGTAAGGCATGTCTTCAAAAACATATAGGTACTTTGCAAGATAACCACCATAAAATTAATTTTTCCTCCTACAGTTAGGAATTGACACCTTTAAGTTACACCAAGTATCAAGTACCTACTCTCAATACTATTTATATGAGCCCTGTTCTCAGATCTTTAAAATTTAGACTATTTAGAGAGAGGTGTATTTTAAGATGAACATATTCATTTTAAAGACAATTATAGGTCTATAAATAGATTATTAATTTTAAAATAGCTCTATGTTTATTATATTAACCTATTTTTATAATTTCCAACAATCCGTTATAATTGTTGTAAGTACATGGCTTAATTATTTACTCTTTAATTATACACAATAAAGTGGCAGACCATTTATCTTTCACAGGGATAAAAAAACAAGAACCGGTTTCCCTTTTATATTCACAAAATACTCACTTGTCTTCTTTATGACCAAGATTGTACTTCCTTTTCCAAATTTAGATTCGTGAATTTCAACTGCCCGAACTGCTCCACCTAATAAAACTTTTTTGGTGTTTATAGCGTCAAAAGCATTACTATCGTAGTATTTTTTTTTATTTATTTTTTTTTTTTGGGGGGGGGAGATACATAATTTTTTTCTCTAGTTTTTGCAATGTTTAAATATCTATTAATCACACGCTATTACTTTATGACCACTTTGTTCATTAATTGTTTTCTACACATCTACTTTTTTCTCATGACTGTAGGTACAATTATGTTAAAAACCACAGTATTTATTTAAAAATTTATTAAACTATTATTAAACATTATTGTGAACTATAAATTAATGTATTATCTAATTAATATAACTTATAAGTATATAGATACGTATTTTAAATATGAAATTTAATTTTTAAATCGAATAATATTATTAAAAAAAAAAAAAAAAAAAAATGCAAGACCATAACTTTTAACTTTAATAAACATATAAATTATATGATATAATATTATAAAACAATCCATAGTTGACTTTACACAATTATAATACTTTTAATTCTTTTTAATATTATATTAGCCAGCATTTTTAAGGAAAAATTAAATAGAGATACGCAAACTACTTGTGGGCTGTGAGCTGTGGCTAATAGTTACCATTAATAAGTAATTTTCTTTTCTGAAGTGAACCAATTGCAAACAAAAATAAACGAATATGTGGTTATAATTTTTATATTATTTATAGTGAGTAAACTATCCTAAAATAACTAGTTCGATCTAATATTTAAACCTTCCTTGGATCGTCAAAATCAAACAAGTATTTTTTTTTGATTTTTAAACTTCAGCTAAGTCGGCCACATTTTATATTTTATAATAATTGTTATAAATGAGTTCTATTCTAATATTTTTATTAAGTTAAAACCCGCCTGAGATACCAAATTATAGGTACTTAATGTATAAATTTTGATGTCATTTAGTTAAACAATGTGGACAAACATCATTAAGTTATAATCCGTGAGTAATATAATAACTGTATATTAATTATTCAGAGATTACCTACCATGTATACCTAGTTTCAGTTTTGCTTTTAGTTGAAATATTCTCAATTGTTTTTGACAATTCGATCAAGTATTCTTTTAGACTTTAGTACTTCAACCTCAACCATTCAATCATATACCTACTGTTCTATAATGTTCTATTTCTATATAATAGTTGTTATTAATAAATTTTACATTTATAAGCAATAGCTTTATCAACCTAATTGATAAAATAAAATACTATACTTAAAATCATATCCAGTAATTTTATTATTTGTTATCTGCAATGACAACTCTTACACAAACAAAAAAATATTTGATTTCTGTGAGCCATCTCATAGCGATTTTTATACTTTATAGGTACCTACCAAACAAAACTATAAGCAGTATACTTACAAATCCTCTCCGAGTCTCGAGGATATGAGGAATCTATTGAAAAAGCTAATTAACTTTTTTGAAAACATTCAAGTAGTTTTTGAGTCTATACTCTACAAAGGACAAGAAAGAAAGAGACATTTATTTTTATTTTTTATGTATTAGATTCTAAAATTTCTACTGAGTACTGACTTATCGTATTTTGGATCTTCTACAGTTGGCACATAAAAAAAATGTATTGAAATAATAAAAATATATATTTTTTTTACAGAAGTGGTTATACTGTTTCAATAATAATTGATAAATATTTATAAGTGATAACACATGTTATATATTCGTAATCCACGGATAAAACTATAAAAGTTATTAGGAAGTTCTTAGATTGCAGTCATATCATTTTAAGTATTTAAAAGTATACCATTTTTTCGGACTGAAATACTCATTAGATTTATAATTTTTGTACACAGAACTGAAATCTGTGTATTCTGAACTCTGAACCTGTTATTACTTTTTTATTTTGACTTAATGTCTGAATTATCAGATTAGAATTGAATTTTATAATTCTACTATGGAACATTTAATAGAATATTTTCTTTTTAATTAAAATGATCACACTTCGCGTTATAATTTGTTCATGGTTGAATTTGGTTTGTTATTTTAATATTATTAATTTAAATATCAGTTTCGAATAAAAATAGTTATGATCAAAGCAATATTGGTATTTAATAATTATGGAAAGCCTAGGCTTTCTAAATTCTATCAATATTTTGTAAGTATCTATTTAATTAAATTGATGATATAATATTCAGTGCATAATCATTGAAATATTTTAAATTAGAATGAAGACATGCAACAGCAAATTATTAAGGAAACATTTCAGTTGGTTTCCAAACGAGATGACAATGTTTGCAACTTTCTTGAAGGTGGAAGGTAATTTTTTGAAGTTTAATATTTAAATTACCATTATACCTATTTTATTGTGGTTTATTCTAAGAATTATTAATCTTAATTTTTAGTCTCATTGGAGGATCAGATTACAAATTAATTTATCGTCATTATGCTACACTGTATTTTGTGTTTTGTGTAGACTCATCAGAATCAGAACTTGGTATTCTTGATTTAATACAAGTATTTGTTGAAACTCTTGATAAATGTTTTGAAAATGTTTGTGAGCTTGATCTTATATTTCACGTCGACAAGGTAATTTATTTATTAACAAATAATTATCTATAATGTATGCAAAAAACAATTATACCTATAAAGCTATAATTCAATAATTGTCCTTATGTTAAAAGAATTTAAGTATTTTTTTCTATAGGTAATTGTTTTAACATTTTTTAAATATTTGTTTAAGTAAATTTGATGTTTATCCTATTTTATTTACCTAATATTATTAAGTTTAAAATACACTGAAATTAGTTTATAAAAATATAAGAAATAACTGCTTAGTAAATATACTTGCTAGTATAAAGATTCTGATTAATGTATTTAATTACTTTTCTATTAATCTATCGTATTTATGTTGTTGCAAGTTCAAATGATAATCAAGAAATAATAATGCCATATTCAATAAAACATACAAAACTAATAATAATAACAACAATAATTCTATTATAATAATGATATAATTGTTTTCCTATATATAAATTTGTTTAAGATATTATCAATGTTTGCTTGAATTTAATCTTTTAGAGTCTTTGACTAAAAAATAACTTTTCAGTGGTTTTTTTATTATTTTCATTATAAATGTATACTTTTCTTAATGTGAATGATCTTGGGACTCCCTAAGCTAAAGCCCTGGCCTAAATATACCATTACACTTCTATAAATTAAGCTTTGTATAATATTTATATCAAATAAATGAATTTATAATTTTAAATATTATTTCAATAATGTTTAATCATTTAAAAATAAATCATAATAATGTAATAATTAATAAAGTTCAAATAATGTTTATGAAAATTATGCTTTTTAACAGGATATTTTAAAAATTTAAATTAACTTATAATTTTAATGTATACATTTTTTAAAAAAAAATCTGGGTATACTGAAAAATAAAAAATAAAATAACCTTTAATCTTTAGGTCCCTTGACCTAAGTAAATTTGGCTATAATTAATTTGGTATGTAAACAACTTAAATTTATATATATATATTTTTTTTTATTTAGATTCATTACATTTTAAATGAACTAGTAATGGGTGGAATGGTTTTAGAAACTAATATGACCGAAATACTTTCAAGGATAGAAGAACAAAACAAGTTAGAGAAACAAGAAGTATGAACAATTTTAATAAATTAAGAATATATGATAGTTTTAATTTGATCATTATTTAACTTATCATAATATTAGGCTGGTCTTGCTGGTGCTCCTTCTAGAGCTGTGTCTGCTATGAAAAATATGAATATACCACAACAGTTGAAAGATATGAAACTTCCTGATCTTCCTCAAGCCATTAAGGAATTGAAGTTCTGACATTCGAGGAACAAATTGGTTTGCTCTGAAGCCTATCATAACTATACAAATTGAGTATGGAAGAATGAACAAATATTTGTTATCTGCTGATTAGAAACTAAAATTTAAATGTAGAATACTTTTCAATGCTGTTTTTGTTCTTATATATTGTTAACTTTATTTTGGTACAGTATACAATTTTAAAATTTAAATAGCTTAATGTCTATGTCAATATTATTTGAGTGTAAATGAAAAATACTGTTAATATTTTTTCTGAATTCATATAAAGTTTATAATATATTTATTGATTAATTATAATTATAATGTAAATTTGTTTTGGAATTCTTGATATTTATTGAATTAATATTTTTATAATCCAAAAATAAAATACAATAACTACTAAATAATGTTAACAATATTGATGATATAGCATATATTACTTATAATTATATTAATAATTTAATATTTTATGATAAAAATGATTAAAAGCTTCATAAGTTTATGTATAATAAGTAATTTTAGTGGCAATGAATTAACAATTGGACAATGAAAGACAGAGAAGAGTGGATAAATAATAGGGACTAGAGGTAATTGGGCTGTAAATTCTAGAACGCACAAAGGAATAGAAATTAATAAGGAAAAATTAAAACTGATATATAAGCTGTTTTGTTTTATGGAGCTCACGACTTCTTACTAGTGGTAAAAATCAGTTAATGACATTTTGCATGACTTATTAAATTTTCATTTTCAATTTGGCGATAAAATAATGATTCCAATGTGGGAATTGTAAAGTATTTGTCCCATTGAACTCAAAAATAATTAATTACCCTGTGTGGAAGGATATCACAAGAAGATATAGTGTGTAGAGCTAAATTATGGTTATTTGAATATTACTGATATAATTCAAGAAATTATTAAAATTTATCAGAAATGTACTCTTCAAAAAAAATTTATAACAGTTAAATTCAACATACTATTTTTTTTTTTGTGAAACAACACACTGATCTTCAAAGTATTAGATTATTTTCTAAAAATTTTGTCAATAATTTAAAACCTTCAGTTTTTTATGACCATTGTGTCGTAAATTAGAATACAAGATAACTTGCACTTTATTTATATTCCTCAACCTCAAATTTTTAATTTATAATTATAATAATTGTAAAATACTGTGCTATTTTAGAATCAGTTACTTATATTTTACAAGATGTTTTAAACAAATTTTATAAGATTTGTGAACATACAAGGACATTTTTGAGTTTATTATTTAGTATTTACTGATGCAAAGTCTATAACAGATAATTAAGTTTTAATATTACCTTTTCTAGAATAATTGATAAAATAAAGACTTCCAAACAATGGATATTATGAATTTAATAAAACATAGTAAAATGTTTTCCCCAACATTACAATAGCATAAGAATTTTTTATAGCACTATTGTCTATTCGGTGTTTGATTTCATGCCTCTCCGTTTCTACTTGAAAAATTTCGTGCGGTCACTTATGAATAAATGATTACCTATCTTTAATTCATTGTCGTATATAAAATTACCAAAGTGAAAATTGACCACATAATTGTATGTGTCTCTTAATTAGTTAATCTTTTTATAAAAATTACTAAACAGCGGAACATCATTAACTATCGCATAAATTACTAATAGGTACATTGTACATATTATATTAGTAAGTACTACACTACTACGGTCTACGGTATACATAAATTGGATGCATATGAACGTTACATTTTTAGATAAATACAGGGGCGAACCAAGATCAAAATTTAAGACATTTATAAGTATGTCTTGTAAGCAAATTAATGTTCGTACATTTTTTCAATTTATTTCATCTATTTTATGTTAACACTAGTAACACTATTAAATAACTACAAATAACAGAAAATAAAAGACATTTTTAAATTTGTTTTTACATTATTTTGGTAATTTTACTAATATTATCATAAAATGTTATAAACATTTATTTCAAGAATACAATACCCAAGTTTTATAATTCATACGAATGTGAAGTTGTGAAGTTATTTTTCGTACTTTAAATTATCCAATAGTGATAAAAAAAAATTGTATGTTGAGTTGCATTTCATTAAGTTTCGGGGGTAAAAACTCGGAACTATGACTTTACACAAAGATAAATACATTTATATAAATTTACATAAATAATTAACAAGGTCTAAGGTCGATTGTATAATATTGATAATGAAAGTCCTGTGCATTATGGAATTACTTTCATCGTATTATGGTTTTCCAAAAAAATTATAAACTCGTTGCATGTCCGTACTAGAGACTAAAATTTATATTTTTTCGTATAATACAATTTTGTATTAAACTTTGTATTACCATTAGGAGCTTTTCCCCCTACACAACCTCCAAAATTAATTTAAACCATGCACATGAACTAATCAAAGTTTCTATACAAATCATATAAAGTACGTTTTTAAGTTATGTATACATAGTAAGCATGTAAGTATATTACGGACAAATCAGAAATACCCGATAAAAACGCGAACTATTGTCTATTAATGATACTCGGGCTAACTATCATAACTATTTTATTTCGACTTTTGCTCAGATAAACTTAGTTGTGATCAACTTTATTTGGTAAAGCTGTAGCGACTTTTTACTTAATTGTTAATAATAAAAATAATAACATCCTATGTCCTTAGTAGTCGTGGATCGTTTCTGTATTTCTGTAAATAAAAAAAATAAATAAATATAAAAATAATAATAATAATAAAATAAGAATCAGTGTGACTTGTACAACGACGTGATAGTATCAACTAATTGTTGGCTACTCTGGTATAAAATGTTAAGAAGATGGCAAATGGGCTAGTCTTACTATTAAAAAAATAACAATAACAATTAGTACAGAATATAAAATAGTTTTAATTTTTTTAACGTTCACAAACCGTATTTATTATTTTTTCTCACGCACCTTTCTGTATTTGCGGACAATCCGCTTTAGTTATTAACTGCGTGAGACCGTTATGTGTGTTATATTTAAATCGGTCTATTGTAGTTCAGATGTCCGCTGATGGTGTAGTGTTTCTCTGGTGATTGAATCTACAAAATTTGTTATGTTATTTGCCCAGTGTCACGCCCTGTCCATCGCTCTCGTATTATTTGTGATCACGCTTTCAAATGGCCAGGATTTCAGGTACCAAGTATACAATACCAATAACCCTCCGTCCTCGCAGACGGCATATGATCGAAATTTGCCATCATTTCCCAGTCCCTACAACCCGTTACTAGACCAATACGGTCAACAGAATAACTACCAGCAAAACAGTTACCAGAATCGACAACTATTTAATCAACCCGGTCGTCCTGGAACTCCATCATACCGACCCAATGGACATAATTATGGAGTGAGTGTCAAGTATCAACATTAATTTTGTATATTATAAAAGACATGTTTTTTTTAATTGATGTTTTAGTGAAATATATTTTGATAAGGTTTTACTCTGACTTATTAATTTATTAACTATCCATTTTAGGGTGATGATACGCTATTGCTACCTGGGATACTGGGTCGGTGGCGACCAGATTTACAAGGAAAAGAAAGAGCTGATTCAAAACAATTGGATAGAAACGTATTTGTATCCACAAAATATGGTCAAGTTCAGGGATTTAAAGTGCATCTTTATGACAATCCTCTGCCTGAGAATGGTTATAGACCTTTTCAAACACCTGTTGAGCGAAAACAAGCTGAAGTAGCCGTGTTCTTAGGAATACCATATGCAGCGCCACCAATAAACGAAGGAAGATTTCGTGTATGTTTTTAATCAATTTTACTTGTATTTATGAAATAAAATTATTCATAATATACTTATGTAATACTACTGTTTAGCCCCCACGACCCCATAAAGGTTGGCAGCTACATCAAGCAGTTGATTTTGGACCTGCATGCCCACAGCCAGCTATTTACACTGGTATTACCAAAGGCGTGCCAAAAGTAGATGAAGACTGTTTATTTTTAAATATATTTATGCCATCGGTAAGTAAAATTAGTTGTTGCAGTAATTTGTTCAATTTATTATTTACAATTAATTGATTTTTAAACTGTATGTTCATATAGACGGGTGTGGCTCCAGCTAAACCGTATCCAGTCATGTTTTATATACATGGTGGTGATTTTGTTCATGGTTCATCAAATTCTTTTCATGGACATATGATGGCAGCATTTTATAATGTTGTTGTTGTAGCTATCAATTATAGATTAGGAGCCTTAGGTAATACAAAAATAAAATTTTTTAAATTTTTATAATAATAATTAAATTTTGAAGGGTTTTTGAGTACTTGTGATGAAAATTCTCCTGGTAATTATGGACTTATGGATCAAGCTATGGCTCTACGTTGGGTATATGACAATATTGAATTTTTCAATGGAGATCGTAAATCAATTACTTTATTTGGGCCGGATGCAGGTGCTGCATCAGCAGGATTGTTGATGGTTAATCCCAAAACTAGTTTTATGGTATCCAAAGTTATTGCCCAGGTAATAAAATATGATAATTAAATTTTATTTGATAAACTATAATAAATTTGACTATAGTAAATAAGTATAAAAGTAGTTTAATATTATTAGAGTGTAAGTATACTGAAAAATAATTTTTAAAAACATATAAAATGGCTCAGGTATTAGAAAAAAAATTAGAATTAAATTCATAGCAATATTTTTTTATAATTATTCATAAGTTAGTGTGATATAGAACATTATATTTATAAATAAATTGGACAATTTAAGAAGTGTATATATATATATAAAACTATTTGAGTTATTTAATATGATTAATATGAAATCCTACTTATGATTAATAAAATAAATAGTATTCTAACACATACTTGATAAGTTATTAGTTATGATTTATCGTGTAATTTTTGTTTTGTTATATTTATTTTTGTAATTTAAATTTATATTGTTTTTAATATGTATTTTATTTTCTAGAGTGGTTCAGCTCTTGCAGATTGGGCACTTATAAAAGATAGATGGAGGGCTTTAAATACAACTAAAGTTTATGCAGCCCACATTGGTTGTAGTACTGAATCTACTTGGAAAATTGTTGATTGTCTGAAGCGTGGTAGGAGTTTTTTGGAACTCGGATCAGATTTCAAGGTAATTTATTTATTACTAAATGTTTATTAGATTTAAAATTGTTTTATTATACTTCTTTAGCCTCAAATTGGTTTTAATGCTTGGGGACCAATAATTGACAATGAATTCTTGGTGCCTAAAAGTGATTGGTATGATGGTTGGCAACAGTCAGATTGGCATTTCATCAATGAATCAGTAAAAAGTGCTATTCAGTCAGGTCATTTTAACAAGGATCTTAGATACTTGAGTGGTGTCACTACTCAAGAAGCAGCATACATATTATGTAAGATTATAAACTAAATTGTTCATCTATTATAAATCATTATTGTACCAATAACACTACCATTTTTATTGACAGTTAATAATAAAACATATACAGTAACTGAAGAGTTCTTTAACAATAAAGTTAAAGAATTGGTTCTTCAGTATAATTACACATTAAATCCTTCTGGAGTTTATCAAGCTATAAAATACTTGTATACTTATTGGCCTGATCCAATTAATCCAGATTCAATAAGAACACAGTATATAAATGTAAGATAATTTTAATTCACTTTAAATTAATAATAATTTATATGTTTTAATTAATTTTAAATATACTTTTACTTTATTTTTAGATGTTATCAGATTTTTTATTTGTTGCTCCACATGATGAAATTTCTAAATTACTTATAGCTGAAGATGTTCCAGTTTATATGTATGTTTTAAATACTACTGTTACAAGTATTCCCTTACCTGAATGGAGACTCTACTCACATGACACAGAATATTATTTCTTGACAGGTGCACCTTTTATGGATAGTGGTATGTTTTTATTTATTTTTGATTTCAGTAAACATTACTTAAATTATATTAATTTTTAGAGTTTTTCCCTCGTATTCCAGTTGTGGATAAAAGAAAATGGTCTGACAATGATCGTAATATGAGTCATTTTTTTATGAAGGCTTATACCAATTTTGCAACTTATGGGTTTGTTATTATTTAAATAATCTTTTTTTTTTATCTAAATATTAATCTTAATATTAATTAATGAACTAATTAGGGTTACCAACTTGTCATTTGCACTTTACAAGCCTAAGAGTAATAAAAAAAACGCGGGCGAGTGGGTACCGCACTGTTATTCTTTAGGGGGTGGGGTGAACCTCAGACTAGGGTAGATTAAATTTGAATGCAATGATAGGTATCATTGTATACGAAAAACGATTCTGAACGGAGATGATTTGTTAGTTTAGGATATATTATATATAAATATTGTCATATGTTCTATTTAAAAACAAATATTTTATTTTCCAATTAGGACACATTTGCAAAAGTCATGGTTAATCAATTTTTCCAAAAACATTGCATGTAGTTATCATAATTCATAATACCTTAATATATTATCATAGATATACCTGGCATACCAAAAGTATGATTGTAGATATCTTATTACACAAAAAGAAATACCATAATATCACAGAACAATATAATATATCTAGTTCATAACCACAATAATCATCTCGTATAATACATATAAGTATATACATTTTATTATTTTACTGTAGGATTATTATATATATTATAATCTGTAGTACAATCAATGTGAAAATTTAAAATTTTTAAATTTCCGTGGTTTATGTTTTAATTGCTTGAATACACCAAAATTTAATTCTTTTATAATTATTGTAAGCTAATAAATTTATGGAAAATCTTGTATTAAATTTTAAACTCTTAGCTACTTATACAAAAATTTTTATGAATTATACCTACAAAATAGTTTGCAAATATTCATGGTTTTGACGAATTTTTGTCAATATTTGAACTTCAAATGCTAATAAAAAAAAATTGTGCCTATGTATTCTTAAAATATTTTGATCACTATCAGAATAACTTATGAGAAACTTTGTATTAAGTTTTCAAGTATTTTGATTGGACCAAAAAAATTTTATCCACACTTCAAAAAAAAATATTCAGAAAAATTGAAAATTTCAGTGTCTATAAATAGCTCAAAAAAATGTCAAAATATTTTGAAAATTAAATCATGTAAAGAAAATGCCAATCTAAATAACTGGTAAAATTTTCAAGTATCTACGACTTATACTTTTTGAATATTAACAAATATTTAAAATCATTTGAGGATAAATCGTTATCGTTACGCTATTTCGTAAAAATTTAAAATTCAAACTCACTTAAAATTTTTCCTATAATGATGCTTCGAGTTTTTACTATAGCTACTTGAAGGAGAACTTAGGGAAAACATAGTGTAGTATTTTTAATCCTTAGTTATAAATACAAAAATTTTATGATTTTTCAACTTCAAAATTGCAAATTTTTGCGTTTTTGATAGATTTCGTAAATATTTGAAATATAAATGTTTATAAAAAAAATTGTGACTAACGATTTTTAATTTTTTTTTTAGCTACAATAAGAACAACTCATAAGGAACCTTGTATTAAATTTTCAAAATTTTTTGGTAATCCAACATTTTTTTATCGACACTTCAAAAAAAAATTCTCATAAAAATCGATAATTTTAGTGGGCTGTAAATAACTTAAAAAAAGTCAAAAATTTTTGAAAATTAAACTGTATATAGATAACACTAACATAAACATTTGGTAAAAATTTCAAATATTTACAGTGATTAGTTTTTGAATTACAACCATTTAAAAAAAATTGATTTGGTCGAAAACTGGTTTTGCGTAAAAATTTTCGTTTTTCCGTCATTTTGTTTTTTTGTTTTTCTCGATTTGTTTGAAAACTGTTGGAAAATGTTTACTTTTTACCTCTATAATGTACCAAGGATTTTCACTTTGTCATCAGAAACCACCCCTGAAATTTGAAATTGAAGCATTATTTCGACTACTTATGCTATACGCAGACACAAAAAAAAAAAAAAAAAAAACACACATCATTGTAAAATCAATACATTCATCACTCCGTTCAGAATCTAAAAATTATAAATTTATAAATTTTTTGTTAGCCTTACAACTATTTTGTTTTGTCATAAACTTAAATCACTTCATATTTTAATATTATAAGTTAAATTTGTGTTTTTATTTGAATATAAATATTTATTCATAAAATTCAAATTATTCTGTTTTAGGAATCCAAGTCAATCTCAGATTTTAGGTATACACTTTGATATGGCATTAAAAAGTGATCTAAAATATCTAAATATAAATACAACATATAATACAACTATTAAACAAAATTATAGACAAATGGAATCAGCATTTTGGTCCGAATATTTACCTACTGTTATTGGTATTATTGTACCAACATATCCTCCAACCACAGAGGTAATTGATTTTTAATATATACTAAGAATCTTAGTAGAAGAAAATAGTTATAAATAATTAAACTTTTTTAAATACACTAAGAAAATAAAATTTTAAAGAATTATTCTACTTTTTATGAATTTCCATAATTTTTTTTTTTATTTTTTTTTTTTAATTCTGAAGAAATGTAACTATAACCTTTTTTAATGATAAATCTTTAAACATTTTTCTCTCTGCCTTGTCCTAAAATTTTTTTTTAAATTGTCTTGCTCTACTATCCATTTAATTAACTTATAGTTTATAAAGCATTATTTTATATTCATTTATATTTACTCTTTTAAATTTAGTTTTGGTGGGAACCTAAAACTCCAATTCAAGTGGCATTCTGGGGTCTATCTGGTCTCAATATGATTTTAATTGCTATGACAGTAATACTTTGCATTTTGTGGTGTAATGCAAAGAAGTAAGTTTACTAATTATACTGAATTAATTTGAATTTGTAAGCAAAATGTTTATTTATTTATTTTTTTGTTTTTAGAACTAAAGATCGTTATTATAATGGTGATGTGTTAGTTGTTAGAGAAGAGCCAATGGCAATGAGCCATCAAGGCATTGATAACCGTAGTGTGACTAGTAATATTTATGAATATCACGATGCCCCTATTAAGACATTACATGCTTCACCCAAAAAGACACCATCTGCTAGCACTTTAAGAACAAACAGTGCAGCATCTATGCGAGATCATCCTATGGCCATAAATGAAAAACCAGTACCACAAACTCAGGTTTAAATTTTAAACTATTATTTTTATAATAGTTTATCAATGTTGTATTTTTAAATGTTTTATATTGAGCTAAATTTGTTGAGACTTCAGCCCTTTTAGGTACGTTGAGGTATTTACAATTATGATTCCGTCCATTATTTTGGTACTCGTTCAGTATGCTATTTACTAAGAATATTTTATCTAATGTAATTTTATGTTACTTTAATATGCTATCTACAAATAAAAATTGTCTTACCTTTATGATGTGGTATTTCTACTTAGTCATTTTTTTTATTAATAGTATGTGTTATGTATAGTTTGTATATCTTAGAGGAATGATTTAAATATATTTTCTGTAGGTTGTACTATGCACCCCTTCCAATCTACCTAGATTTTTTAATGTTTTAATATGTAAAGGGTCCTATGTGTTTTAATGTTATATTTGTTGTTAACGTATCTTTAAAGTGTTTTTATTGTTTGTATTTTGGCGCTAACCATTGGGTCATTGAAGTTTTCCAAATGATTAACTATCTTATGGATAAATTTGTGTTCATTAAAAAAAGAGTATGCACATCTTTTATCAAAATCTATATAAGTACTTTGTACATTTTCATTTAATATAATTAGTAGTAAAGTATTTTTATCTTATTTTTATACTTTGAAAAAACTTTTCTTTTTTTTTTTAATTTTGTTGTCCATAGTATTGATTATTTACAACATTATCTCCATCTGAACTGTTTTCATCTTTGTTTGGTTTGCGATGTCAAGATATAATCTTCTGTGATAATATTTTTTTTTTATCTTGGAATAAAGATTCATCTATATGCACAATTATAAGCTGACCTCCCATTTATTTTCTCATGGTTCTGAAATTCTGTTATTACTATGTTTCAACATAAATTATTCTATTCGACTATAGTAAAGTTGGTCTTGATCTTTTTGTTTACACCTTGGCTTGCATTACTTTTATTTGAAATATCAAATACCAAACAACTTCTATAATATTTTATAAGTTTAAACCACTATTTTTTTTCCATTTTTATCCTTAAATGTAATAAGGTATATTTTTTTGCATATTGAGTGAAATATTTGGCAACTCTTTTTAGTACATTGCAAAAGTATGACTATCAGAATATTTCTTTCTAAATCTTGTTTCCTCTATTTTTAAAAACTTCTTTCAATTCATCACCATAAATTGTTTTTATTTTTAGTGCTTATTTGTTCATTAGGTAATAAATCTCAGTTTTTAAAAATATCTACACAAATGTCTTCATTTTGAGTGATATGTCGAAAAAAAATTATTAAGAACTGAAACATACATATTAATAAATAAGAAATAATAATGTAATAACACAAAAAATTTCAATTAAACTGGAAATAGTCAATATAATTCACAAACACAGATTTATTTAATTTATGTTGTAATAATCCTAATTTTAATTTCTAAAAGTCTATACAGGTATATTGAGTAGATAGCATGCTAAATTATCAAATGCACTGTAAATAGCATATTGTATGATTACCATTGTTTTTTGTTAGTAAAAAATAAATTATCTTGTTATGATAGATTTAGGTTTTTTTTACAAGGTGCTTTCTCTTTGAAGTACCTATATTCCACATGTACCATTATGCCCTCCATTTCATTTAATTTATAAATTAAAATTTTTATTAGTAAACTATCCGTCCAGGAAATTATTCAAATATTTTGTTTGAGGTATTAAATTTAAATAATATTATTTTACTTTAACTATGTATTAATTTTTAGTTGTGATAAGTTGTGATGCATTATACTTAAAACTTAACAAAAAAATTTTTTTTTTAATTATTTGACAAAATCTTAAAATATTACATAATTGTGTTTCTTAACTTAAACCAAAATACATATAACATTTTCATATATAACTTTTTATTGAAATATACATAAATTATGCTAAATAATTTAATAAATATTATGTTCATGATTAATTTATTGAGTTTATGTCAAATAAATGTTATTTTAAATATTTTTGATAATTGTTATTTTAGGCCATTAAACAATAAAATTATTTTAGTGACTGTAATAAATAACAATTGATGTGATTTATATAAATTACAAACCTACAGCCTGTCTCCCAAAAACAAACTTAACTTAAATTAAAGTAACTTTAAAAAAATAAATATTTAAGTTATTAGTCATATTTTTAAGTTATATAATACATCATTTTTTTTTAAAAATTTTAAGCTTTTTTAATAAGGTCTATGTAAAAATTACATAATTTTTGTTTTATTATAATAGACACTTTTATTAAGTATTTAATTGTATACATATTTATTTTCTTAGATGTTTATCCATGTTAAGACCTTTTAAACATATTTTTGTAACAAGTTTTAGTCATTCAACTAAATTTTTTTAAATAAATAAAAAAATTACATTAACAATTTATTGCTTTAAAAAAAAAAAAATGATATCAATTATATAAATACTGTTGTAAGCTAAACCTTTAAGACTAATATTTAGTCTACTGATTAATATTTAGTTTAATGACTAATATTTGTATTAATATTTGTTACCAAAAATATATATAAAAATCTGAAACAAAGAAATATTAAAGTTGATAGTAAGATCTCATATTAAATTATAATATTATAAGTTATTAGTATCTTGGTTTTGTATAAAAAATATAATAATAATTTTTAACATTTTTATGATCAGTGTTCAATGTTCATTTACTTGTTTTATTATGGAATTATTAATATAATATTATTAATAATTACAGTGGTTTTCCTATTGTAGTTATGTCGATGTAATTCTCGATCAATTGTATATAATAAAAAAGTTAACAGTGTTCATTGTAATAAACAAAAAAAATTAATTAATTAAAGCGGTTTTATAAAAACATTCTATTTTAGATTTTAATGATTGTATTTAGTGAGATTTATTTTATCACTTATATTTCTTATATTTATTGAAAAGTTATTTAACACCCATTTACAAATAGATTTATTATTTGAATAATTATTTATTTAAATTAATGTAGTATAATTAATTTTTATCTATTATAATTAAATATGAATCAGCAAAATAAAAGTTATATGTTATCAAATATGAACAATATTTTGTTAAAATAACTATAGTCTTGGAGTTTTTATTTTTACAAATTTAAATTTCATCATAAAACTATAGGTCTATGGTTTTAAATTTAACATCACATATTTTTACTGTAGTAAATATTTTGTTTAACATAATTTGGATAGATCTTATATTTTAATCAAATACAAATTAGATATTAAGTTTGTTTTTAATTTTTATTATTTTATAATATAATATTTTTGTATAAATAATTTGATATCTTTTTATTATAGCTATAAAATTTATATAAAAATAAAAATTTTTTAATTTTTAGTTATTTCAATTATTTTGTAGAGCTACAATTTGTGTGGTCTTTATTTATGAAATGTATGTTTGATCCAATTAGCTTATAAAAAATATTTTCTGAACAGAATGATTGTAATGTGTTCAATAATTATAGTATTAATTATTGTAAATTATTTTTTAAAGAAATATTTTAATATTGTTTCATATTTTTATTTTTATAAGTATTATTTTATTATAATTAATTAAAGGATAATTATTTTTATAAAATAGTAAAAAATATTTTATTTTTGATTACCTGTAATATTTATAATATTTCTACAAAATTATATTTATTTTAAATTAATACATTTTTAGTAATTATTGTTTAGAAATTCTAAATAATTCATTGAACATACCTATGATTTAACTAACACAATTTGCTTACTGAAAGTCTTTTCAATATTATTAATCTTGAACATTAAATATGTATTATGATGAGAATAATGCATGTTTAGTGTGAAAAAGATAGTTCTGCTTTAGTGTCTATGATTCAGTACCTATGAGCTATGGCTATACATTTTTTCCATTGCCTATAAGAAAATTTACTATTTGCAAAGAGAAGTTTTTGTATTTGATGGAAATGTAGTCTGTACATTTTCTAACTTGAGAAGACTATGAAGTGACTATGAATATTTCTAACTGATGATATGAGTTAAAACATGTAAACAAAGTTATACAAATAGAGAAAAACTGAGCTACTTCAATCATACTGATAATGCTGTACCTCGTGTAATGTGATGAAGGCATTTGATGATGTAAGCTAATATAATTTAATATTATGTTTTATAGTTGAAGCTTTTCTGACAATCAATTGACTGTTAGATACCTAATTAAGAATTTATGGTTCACCATATTCACAAAAATATAATTTATAATATAAGCAATTAAATACTAGTAATTAAAATTATTTACTTAAGAGAACGTCGCACCTGTATGTGTTGTCTCCATCTTACACACATACAACATCATACATTTTTGTTCGTCAGTTTCAATAGTGTGTTTTTAATTTTAATATTAGAGTGAATTAACCTTTTAGGTAAAAACATTATTTGTGTTCACTTGTTGATTTTTTATGATATTTTAATTTCTAAGTGAGTTATGAGTATAAAAAAAAAAATATAAATATTTGAAAATGCTCATAATTCACTTAGAAATTAAAATATCATAAAAACCAACGAGAGAACACAGATATATGATATTGTATTATCTAAAAGTTTGATAATAGGTCAATTTACTCTAATATAAAAATTAAAAGCACACCATTGAAATTGATGAACGAAAATGTACCATCTATATCGTACGTATGTAAGACGGGACAACTCATGCTGATGCGACATCCTCTTAATGTCTTAGATTTATCGATTATCACCTCTTAGAGCAGTAAAATATTTTTTGCTTTAAAAATAATATTTCAATTTTAAAAAGGGGTTTTTAGCTACAAATTTAATTCATAGTACTTTGAGGTGGTATTAAAAGTAAAATATTCCCAATAAGTACTTAGTAATTGGTGGAAAAACGAATTTTTATTCTAAACCAATTTTTGAAAAAATTAATTTTTTTATTTTAATATAATTCAAAAATGTATAACCATAGAACTTGAAATAGGTATTTACTAAATGTTTATTTTATCATTTTCTATATAATTAAGTACCTAGTATATGAAAATGTAATGAAATGATACAAATTTCCGTTTTTACAAGTTTGTTCAACCATACCTATATATTGAAAAATTAAGTATTTTCAAAAATCTTATCGACCGTTCTCTAGAATATGTTTTAAAGAATGTTAGCAACTTTTCAGAATTTAATTCACAATAACCCAAGTCTCACAGTTTTGTCACAGCCGAGACATGTTTGTACTCGGAAAGCAACAGGCCGTATGAATTTATATGGTGTAGCAGTCTTAATATTCAATAGATCAAGTTTTTCTGTACGATTTAAAAGGTTTATGTTTTTAAGCGAATGCTATTAAATGAATAAAATCTCTAAATATGAACTCTAATGAACCGCCGGTGTTCATTTTCAATGTGCAAGTAATATTTGACAATGTAATAATAGTATGCGAATTTCCGTTATTACAACATGTTAGTTCAATTATATATACTGTTGAGATGAGTATTTATTTTATAAAAACTTTCCGAAAATATAGAAATATTCAAGTATGAATATAAATATGTAAGTATAACTCATAAAACTATGAATCTCAAAAAAAAAGTCTGGTTTAATTTTTTTCGGAAATAAATACGACGTGAAAATTATTATAAGTCAACTTGTTTTCCGGACTATTTTTTTTAATTTTTTCAAATTATATATTATTCTTATACCAATTATATTTTATGTTTTTAATATAGATTATTTTTTGATATTATTATCAATTTTAAATTATATTTATATTTATTAATAAATCAAGATATTTTTTTCCGAAAAGAATCAAACCGGACTTTTTTCCGTATAATAATTTTCTCGTCGGACTTTTTTACCGACTCCCTACTATTCACTACTCACAAGTGGTGGAGTTTAGAAAATATGTACGATGTACCTATTTTATTTATAAAAAATTCACTTACAGAGACTAAAAATGAATACAAATACAAAATATATAATTTGATCCCTGATATCTTTGTTGTGCTAAGTTCACTAGGTAGTAGGTATTTCTATTTGGTGCAATATTGAGGTCAATACCATAAACCTTATTCTTCAACTAATAATAGGTACAAATTATTCAAAATAGTGATTTTAGTTTAATTAAGACTTATAAATAAATATTATTATGTAAAATGAAAATGGTTGGCACTAATTTACCGTAAATGAGAATCGATTTCCATTAGGTACCTACCTAGTTTTCCAGTTTATATTTTAATGCTATAATAAAAATATCTAAATAACATGGTTATGAAAAATAATTAATAATTATTAATTTAGATAGGTATATAGATATCTATATACCTATTATTTATGGGCTGTTCCCATAGTTTACAGACTATGTTATTAATTATTATACTATTTTAATATAGTCTGTGGCCATGTTAATTGTTATATACCTACATAAATATATAATAAATCCAACTTGCAATAATCTAGCTCCTATTTGGTTTGACCGTAAAGACTAAAGAGTTAAGCAGTTAAGTTAGTAAGACTGTTCAAAAATTGAAAAAGCGAAAAAAAAATAAGAATGAATAGGTATATGAATAATTATTTTCAAGATTTCTTATCGAAAAATTCATTTTTTAAAAGATAACACGAGATAGATATTGTTCTCTGATCTTCCATGCAATAATTTATTGTTAAATTTAAGGTTAGAAAATTTTGATAATTTGATTTTGATATTAGTTTTCGAAATTTCAAGTATTTCAACCCGACTCCCGAGTGGCGAGTACTCGAGATCGATGAATTTATATTTAGAGTCGTGAAATATCTTGCATACATTTTGAACAATTTTAGTATTTACTTAAGATATATTTAATTTTATAAGTATGGAAAAAGAAGGTAACAAACAAGAAAATAATCCTCGAATACCATCAGCAGTGTTTGTGGTTTGTGAATGTTTCAATTTTAACTGTTCAATCTAAATAATATAGTATGTAGTTAATATTTTTATAAATGCTAACAACATTTTTTTTATACAGGACGATGTAGATAAGTTTATGGAAAAATCAGAAAATAGTAGCGTTGAAGATGTACTTAAAAGATTGGATGAGCAACATAGCAAATATAAATTTTTTGAATATAATTTAATTACAAAGAGAAAAAGGTTAAGTATAACATTTTTATTGTATTGTTTTACTTAAAAAGGATAAAAAAAAAATTAACAATTTGGCAATTTAGTATTCTAAATATTGTCAACACCAATTATTTACTATAATATGTAATAATTACTTATTTTTGTAAATTAAAGTTTATGCCTGGGATTTTTTCTTCTAATGTAACATTTATTTTTCATATTAAGATATTTGCAGTAGAGATTAACATTGTATAATCAATTGATTTTTGTGAACCAATAATGTAGATGTGTTAGATGTTTTTTCTTCAATTTGAAATAGCTATACTATTATTCAGATTGTTCTTATAATGTTTATTTTCAGTGCTATATTAACTATTAGAGTATTAGACTCTCTAAATCTATTTATTGGCACTACTTCTATTTGAGTAAGGTATTATGATTATTTCATCAATTTAAAAATTACATCGTGTAGGGCGCTAAAAATTATTTGATTTTTTTTCTTTTTATTATATAGTAAAGTTTTAATTATGATATTTACAAATTGTAATTATCTAATAGATTAAATGATTAATTTATATCTATAATACATTTTAAGGTTTTTATAGTTGAATTGTTGAATTATTATTAATTATAATAATTGATTATGCAAAATCAAAATTGTTGCATCTAATATTGAAATAAAACACCTATCATAAAGTATGAAGAAGTGAATATTTTTTAATTTTAAAACATTATTTTACAATTTGTATTATATTATCTCAAAAATGTTCTGTTTTTTAAATTTGGCCATTAATGTTAAGACTTTATAAATAACTTAGACATACTCGTAAAATTTTGGTTTTGCATTGTGAAATTTTACTGTATTGCACAGTATAAACATATAGCATATTCTCTTAACTTGGTTAAAAGTTAACATAAAAATGTTGTTTTTAACATCAAGAATTATTTGTAAATATCTTGTATTTAATTTATTAATACAGATTACAATCACAATTACCAGATTTAGAAAATACACTGGAGATGATTCAAACAATGAAAGCTCATAAAGGACAACAGTTGAAGACAGACTTTTTATTATCTGATGATGTTTATGCCAAAGCTCACATACAAGCAACTGATAATGTGTATCTTTGGCTTGGTGTAATTATTATTTTTTAATAATTTAATTTTTGAATTAATCAATAAATTAAATCATAGATAATTATTTATTTATTATAGGCTAATGTCATGTTGGAGTATAATCTAGATGATGCCACTGAACTTATCTCAAGAAATATACAATTGGCCACTGATAACATGGGGCAAGTCGATGATGATCTAGATTTTCTTAGGTATATATATATTTAATTTATTAGTTTAATAAATAATGTTTGGTTTTCTTGTGTAAATTGTTTATACTTTTTTTTTCAGGGATCAGTTCACTACAACTGAGGTTAATATGGCCAGAGTTTACAACTGGGATGTAAAACGACGACAGGCAGCTAAAGCTAAACAATAAACATTTAAATTATTAATATGAAACGCTAATAAATGCTTCTTTTTTATTTAATTATTTATTAATTTAACCATTATATTATTTAAAAACAAAAATATTATTTTTCAAAATTAATCAGTTTATTAACATCTTTTAAATTATTCGCAAGTTTAAGATTACAGTTATTTGTATGTTCATAGTTCTGTCATATTTATGTTTAATTATAACTAATAAAATAACATCCAAAACAGTATTATTTTATACTATCAAAATAATAATTAAAAAAAAACTTTAATATGATAAAGTATATACAAAATATTTGTAATTTATTGAACTGAAATATTATAATTGGACATTAAAAAAAAATAATGATAAAAATACTCAATATAAAATTTATACATAATTCGATAAGCTAAGAATTAATTCTTCTGTTGTGTAATCTTCTGTTCTTGTTAACTTATTCAAAGGTAGAATTAAGGGTCTAAAAATCTTATAATTTGATGTTTCTACTTTTGATACCATTTGTCCAATTTTTCGAGTTATAAAATTAGACAATTCAGTTTTTATCATTCTAAAAAAAAAAAAAAAAACAATATTTAACGTAAAAGTTTGAAACTGTTGAGTTTACAATAGTTTCATATAATGTTGTGTATAATTATATTACCTTTCTTTAACTGTAGTTTCAGGCAAACTTGATACTCGATCACATAATATAACAATGAGTGGTATCGATTTTTCAATAGACATTTTACTTAGTGTCTTACTTAAATTTAAATATTCTAAAATAGTTGAACTATCTTGCAAGTTTGTTGGTATTGATCCATCTACTTTTGAACCATCTATTAACCAACTAAGTAAATGTTTTAGAGTTTTTTGGCCATCTTAAATGAAAATAGAAAAAATTAAAAATGGTAAAAATGTATTTAAAAAAAAAAATGTATACTTTTTTGAAGCAAATAGTTTGCAAATAAGTGATTTTTAAGTATATTGTGAGCTTCTTGCCATTGTTCAGCTTTTAAATAACAAATGGTAGCTTCTAAATATCTAAAATCAATAAATTTAAATTATAAAAAAACTGAAATAACTCAATTTTAACTTAAAACTCTTTTACAATGATTATAGCATACTTTTTTTTGAGTCACAGCCAAAATAGCCTTTGCATTATATATTATTACTTCTTTAACATTTAACTTTTCTATTACAAAGATTTCTTTGTCAGAAAGAATGATGTCATTGATATTGCTAATGGGTGATTCAACATTTCTTCCAATAACCTCTTCAACTAAACTTTCTCTCCTGGAACAAACAATAAATTGTTAATAAACGTTATAATCTTAAGACATGGATATATTACAATTGTTCATCTTTTATATGCATAAGAACAAATACAGCCCATTGCCACTGTCCATGCGATACCAACTGCGAAGCAAAATTTATATGTAATTGATTAGCATATGTTTCAGACATTTGTGTATAGCCAAGTGATTGTAATGTGTTGTACAGAAGCCAACTAAAATTAAAATCCATTGGATCTCGTGTATGTGTAAATGGATTTATAATTTTGTCCATTTGATATGCTGAATCGGTGTAAAGTTTCATTAAATGATAACAAACATCATAAGTAGCAAATTTATCATCAATATCAATAATTCCATCATAAGTCTTATATGGTTTGAAAGCATAAGCATCGTCGCTTTCAAATGAATTTTGATACGCATCTAGTACATCTCTAATAGTACTAGATGGAGGTTGGATGTACCTGTAATTTAATAATATATTGAATTTTAGAAAATGTATTCTGAGTTAATAAATAAACATAACCTATCATACATTATACATACCACATATGTATAGCAAAAGCTCTTATCCAGTTTAAATTTTCACAGACGTTAACTATTCCTTGATTGGAATCAAATAAAGGTTGACCTGAAATCAAGGTGTATAATTTGAGGTGATCAATATCTATGAACAGATCAGCTTTGCTGTTGAACCATTGCCAAAGTTGTCGTTGAATGCAACATCGGACAGAATTTTCACTTCCTAATTGTGCTAATAACATAGCTAAATTGAATTCATCTAAAACAATAGTAATGAAATTAAATAAATATAATTATTCAAAGTTTAATAATAATTATGCTACATACTATTAGAAATTGCTAAATCACAAGCTTCCATAATTTTATGTACTGAAACTAGATTTAATATTTTTTTAGAGACATTATTGTCAGCATTATTTGAATCGACTGATTTTTCTAATACATTTTCTAGCCAATCAGACACTGCCTGACGTCTAGCCATGTTATATACATGTTCTTGAGGATAGTCTTTCGTATACAGATTTTCTGGATCTCCCCATAATGCTTTAATTAACTCCCATACATGAGCATAGTGTTCTTCTTCAGGTAGTTCAGAGAAATGAGATAACAAATAACAATGAGAATGTAATGCATCAACTCCAAATGTTGGATAAAAGTACGGAATGTTGTTGTTTTCAGTATCACAGTTACTATTCAGCATACAAATTTCTAAATGTTCAGTTAATAATTCCTAAAATAAAACAATTTTATTATCAATTCATATTGTGAATTAATTTAAGTAATGTAAGTACATAAGTTATAACTTGACTTACAATGAATGTCTCTGTTTGAATAGGTGTAATAATTTGTAATTTCTGTAAAATTGTAGAAGAGTAATCATTTTTTTCACGTCCAGACAATTCTGTTGATAAATAGCCGATATCCAATCCTTTTGATGGTAAACAACTTCCTTTAGATTTAGTATTAAGTGTAATAAATGTTAAATTGCCTGACCAAGGAACTTTCATTGATAAAGTATTTGACAATGACAATTTACTAGACTCGCATGTGTTATTAAGTTCTATTTCAAATGGTAACCGAACATTACAATCATATATTAAATTGAACCGTTGAGTTTGAAGCTAAAAAAGAATAAATATAATAATTTATGTACAAGAAAACTACAGTAATCAATTAATTATTCAAGAATCAGAAATCAAATAGTGTAACCCACAAAACTAAAAATATAATTGTTTAAGTATACATTAAATAGATTAAGTTAAATTATATGAGGTATTGATTAAAATATAAATCAACAATGAATTAAGATCTTGAATAAGTAACATATATTAAAAATATTTATATACTTACTGGAGCAGTTAAAACTGGTTTTAATAATTCGACAACTTGAACAACTTTATTTTCTAAAAAATATTAATATTCAACATAGTAATTAGTAAAACTGTAATGGTGGTAAATTTAAATACAGTAAAAAAAGAAGTCATTTAAGTAAGCTAAATTAATTTTAAAAATGTAATAAATAATTTATTTTTATTAATCAGTCGATTAGTTTTGAAAAATATGAATATAAATTGAATAATTAAGTAAATGGAAGATAAGATGCACTGCTGTTCAAGATTGCAACAACAAGAGGGGAGGGGCTTACAGTAAAACGAGAGCCATTGTTTACACAATAAATGAAGTTCAAGGTACACCAGCAGTCATTTTCTAGTGTTTAAGACACAGACTAAATAATATAGTGATCAATGGTTATATATTTACTACATAATTTTTATTTTCTAAAGCAAATAACTAATAATAATAAAACAGTTAATAGTAAAAAAATAAAATAAACAATGAGATTAGTTTTTATTTCTATGCAATTTGAAAATTCTAATTGTACACCTTAGAAATCCTATTATACATATATGTACATGTTTAAAATCTTCAGTAGGTTATAAAGAATGTCAAATTTACAATAGGTATATACGAGAAAAAAAATAGGTAGTCTAGATCAAGTTTTCAAAACACATCAATGAAAATACAAGCATTTACTTCATATGTATAATAAAAACTATGAAACTTTGAGAAATTAAAAACTGCACTCTTCAATGATATTATGTCAATTATTTAAAATAATTACTTTGTTTTGTAATGAGAAATTTAGGAGACACTTGATTATCTACTGGAGCAATTAGAGACTTTGACTTGGAAATATTATCTTGAGTCTTAGGGCTAATCAAGCATTCAGGAATTGTTTCTAAGATTTTTTCCAACTTGTCTTCAAATTTATCTTTTTGTCCTGTAAGATAAATTCATTAATAAATTATGTATTTTTAAATTAAATTTGCACAATTTTACCATAAGTGTCATCATCTTGTTCCATCAGCTCTAATTCATTATAAAAAATATCATCAAATGAAGCTTTCATGCATTGTATTTTTGATGCCTGTAAATTCATATGTTGAGATAGCTGAGCAGTTACATTAATACTATTTTCTTTGTTTATGTCTAAAAAAAATAATATATTTCTAATTAAAAATCACCTTAAAATTTAAGAAAACAGATTGTTTTAGAATTCATACCATAATAATGCATGATATGTGAATCATTAGTTAGATCATTAACAGCAGAGAGCTGAAAGTTTGGTTTCAATAAATACTGATGTGGTAATTGAGCTCTATCGAGACCAACAGAAAGATCTAGTAGTGGTTTCATAACCTATTTAAACATGTTCAAGTGGAATATGAATAAAAACATCTTAATAGAAAATTCAAAAAAAAAAAAAAAATTATTTATATGTACATTTTGTTTTGGGCTAATATTTTCTGTTGATTTAATAGTTTTAGGTTTTTGTAAAATTGGTTTAGGAAGAGTTTTAGATTCAACACTACGATCCACTATGATTTCCTCGTCTTCATCATCGGAATCTATAAGAGCATATTTTGAGAAATGTTCAACATTAAACACCCAAGATCCTGTGTCTGCACGATAATCTACGAATTGAGTGTTTAATTTGGCACATGCTCTTTGAAGTTTAACGACAAAATTTGTAGCTGCAATACGATCAGGGTTAGTAATTGGTTGTTTCGTTGTTTTATCATTAGGCCAGACTCTATCTAAAGTAACAGTAGCTTTTCTATTTAATCCCTCCCCTAGCGGGGGTTTAAATTCATCATCTTGGTAAATTATAATTTCTCTATGTCTTATATGTACTGAAACAATAATACAATTTTATTTAATTATTAATTTTAAAAGACAAATTAAAACAATTATATT